GAGTTTCCATAGAAAATGAAGGCAGAGCAGACAACATGGATTGGGACTGACTAGCTTGAATAATACCAATGAGCTGTGGGCTATCACAGTGGTCTCTAGTTTCCTGGAACCTGGACCTGGGATGATTTAGGGAAGGGTAAATATTGTCTTGATGTATGAAAGTTAGATAAAGGGGTGACTGTGACTACAGGCATAAAATCAGTTTATTTGTATATGAAAGACATAATTCCAGCCAATCTCTTTAAATCTTCAAGAAAGAGCTAACTTGGGAGATGCAGTCTTTCTCCAAGTCTATAAGAACCCCCAAATATAAGACCATCAAGAATACATAAAATAATCTGGGGGTGTAGCTCAGTGGTAGAGCACATGCTTAGCATACATGAGATCCTGGGTTCCTTCACCAGCAATACACACACATACACACAAGTATGTGTGTATGTGTGTAAGAATCAGGAAATAAGAAATATTATGATTGGCTTTGTGATGAATGGGTACCAACTAGATAAATACATCATCTAAGAAAATACAGAAGAGGGTCTAACAGCTCCCTTATAGACTGTATCTACTTGCTAGAGCTGCCATAACAAAATACAAGTACTGGTAGGCTTAAAAAAATAATTATTATATTTTCAATATTCTATAGGCAAAAAGTCTGAGATCAAGGTGTCCACAGGGTTCCCCTTAAGACTTTCCTCTTCTCTTGTAGATGTCCATCTCTCCTTGTGTCTTCACATGGTTTTCCTCTGTCTGTGTCCTAAATCTCCTCTTCTTCTAAGGACACCAGTAATATTAGATTGGGACCAACCCTAATGACCTCATTTTAATTTAATCACCTCTAAAAACCCTATCTCCCCATCCAATCACATTCTGAAGTACTGAGGTTAATGAATTTTGAGGCTGATGAATCACACATGCAGAGTTGTACCCTGTGCACCCACAAACCAGAGTTTCTGTGGAAAGATAATCCAAAGTGGGTGCTATGCAGCAGAAGAAATGAGAATCACAAGCCTGTGGAATAAATGTCAGTGCTTTCTTTTCTCAAACTCACAGAAGCAAAAAGCAGAATGGTGGTTACCAGGAGGTAGAAGAGAAAGGGATTTGGGAGATGTTGGTAAAAGAATGGAAATTTTCAGGTGTTCTGGTAGAATCAGTTTCAGAAATCTATTGTACAATATGTTGATTATACCTAATAGCAATACATTATATACTTAAAATTGATGAGAGTATATTATAAATGTTCTCATCACAAGTTAGTATGTGAGGTAATGGATATATTAAATGGCTGGCTTTAATTATCTAATAATGTATACATATATCAATACATCATGTTGTACACCATAAATATATTTTATTAGTCAATTAAAAACTCACAAAGAACTTTTAAAAATAGTGTCAGACCCTGTACATCTAAAGAGAAAGGAAGAATTAAGCAGAGGATCCTTTAAATTTAGTGGGGTAGGATTTTACTATACTTTGGCATTATAATGTGCCTCAGACATACTTAAACCTTGGTTTTAGAAAAGACTTTTGATCCTAAGGTATCAAAGGAGGACCTGGGGGGAAGTTCCACTAGCTCAGTCTTCCTTGGTAATGAAATCATTTTGGAAATTAACCTAAATAGTGGTTTTCAGAGTGTTTTCTTCAGATTATCAGCCTCAAAATCATCTGGAAACTTTTGAGAAATGCACTTCAGGCTCTATTCCTAGAACTACTGAATCATAAATTCTGATGTAGGTCCAGCAATCCATGTTTACATAAATCCTCCAGGGGATTCTAATGCAATCTATAGTTTGAGAACCATGACTGTAAGCCCTTTGTCTGATTCTGAAATTCACTTGTAAGTGCTACAAGCACTCATGTGTAGAGAAGTCCCCTTTAACAGATAAGCATTTGCTACCAGTTTTCTAAGCATGTGATAAATTATATTAAATAACTTGATTTTTTATTTGTTCTCTTTAGATATACATGACTGTAGATTGTATTTTGGGATATTATACATTCATGGAATATAACTTATTCTAATTAGGATCTCATTCTTGTGGTCGCACATGATGTGGAGTTTCACTGGTAGTGTATTCATATATGAACATAGTTTTTTTACTACAAGTTACCCTTATGACCAAAATTTGGGGCTGGGTTAGGGAGGCAATGTGAGGCTCTGATACAAAAGGACACTCACCAGCAACACCCCCCTCCAATAAAGAGCCAAACAATGCCAGTCCTGTTGACTTCTTCCACACCTCCCTAATCCCATTCCCACCAACCTACTTAAACAATGATGGCACCTCATTCAAACCAGTTCATGCACCAAATCACAATCTGGAGGTTAGGTGTGATTTTTTTGGAGTGGGATAAGAGGAATTGTTAATAAAAACTCCTCTCCTCCAACCAAGAACATATATGATTTTTTTTTTCCCCTGAGGTTTGCTTTTGTGAAGCAGCCACACATCATTTAGGAGATGGTGATTTCAGCACCATGAAAAAGTGTATTCCTGTAAGTTCCCAAAGTAAAACTATCCCTAAGTGAATACTAGTGTGACTCAGTTACAGCAGTGCTCCCAGGGAGGCTCAGGACCTACTTCACTTTGCAGGGAAGGAGACCTGTCTTTTCATTATGAGATAGTACTTTCAAAACTATCATCTGTATTTAAACAAGCTTTTTGTTCCAATAAATTGTAATTTTTCAGTTCTATAAACTGAGCATCGATAAGTTGTCATTCTGCCCTTTGTACAGCATCACCTTCAGTTTGAGAACAAGAATAGCTCTTCCATGCTCTCCTGAAATGATTCAAATATAATTTATCAGTTACTGGCCTCTGATCACCCAAGTAGCAGTCTATTTTAGCAGGACATTATGTATGCAGTTACTCACTTCATGCTTACTAGAGGCTTGCATCTGAAAATCATCTTCATGTTTAGCTACATTTTTAGATGGGTTATCATTGTGTTCCCAGGCTGGCTTCAAACTCCTGAGCTCAAACAATCCTCCCTCCTCTGCCTCTCTAGTAGCTGGGATTACATGAGTGCACCACCATGCCCAGCTTTAGCTACATTTAAAACAAACTGTTCAAGTTGCCAGATTTTATTCTCAACTATCCTGGCCTCCTGTTCCTAATCCATACCTTGTGCTAACCAGTTATGTATTTATTTATAATCTCTAGATGTTAGAGGTTTCAACATTTGTATTATTGCAAATAATTGCTGAGTCTGTAATGCAGCTTAATATAGCATTTGTATGGCATCTTGCATGTATGTATCTCCCATCCCCTTTTCAAAGTGTCTTATTTATGCTACAGAAGGCAGGGGGATGTCATAAGCACCAAGTTTTCCATATTTCAAAGAGAAAAATACACAGTTGAGACAAAATAATTTACCACAATATATATTATAAATCATTGGCTAAGACAGAAACCAAACGCAAGGCACTTCATCCAAAACTATTCAATCTTCTTCCTTTATTCTCAAAGGTCAAAACTTACCTCAATCTCCACACAAGACAGTCCTTTGAGTAATGCTAGCCATGTGAAAATCTCCACTTTTCCTTATTCTTTGCTTAGATTAAGAATGCACCTAAAGCAGTGCTCACTGGGTTTACGTCCTTTCACAAGAGTAAGCCATCCCCTGTCAAGCTACTTCTTCTAGACCCAAGACCTACTCTCAGCTCTTTTCCAAATCAGTCAATACTAACAAGTTGACTTTAACTCCAATGTGAATATATTATCATTAAAGATTTCACAGGTAGAATTTTAAAAATTAATTACATTTAAATTAAATAAAAATGATTTCCTACTAGAAAACGATTCAATGCAAACTATATTGTTTCCACATAGAGGCAAGGATCACTACCACCTGAAACAAAGACAATGCACTTTAACCTTTGTCAATAGATGATTTGCAATCAAGACATCTGATAACGGAATAATAGCTGTGGTCACATGAACTAATGAAGGATCGATCCCAGGCTAATTATTTCAATGTTTCTTTGGAGAATGAAGCTGTATTGATATGACAGATACCCTGGGAGGTGCATTTTCTCTGTCAAGTGACACAGTGTCAGCTTCTAAGTCCGTATGTCAACATCAGCACCATGAGGCACAGTAGCCTCTGACAAATGCATTCCAGTTTATTAAAATCACCAGAAAGGTAAAGTTTGTACAGTCACACAGAAAAAGAAAATGGTTAACCAAGAACCAGGCAAATTGTCTATAAATAAAGGCCAGTATCACTGATTTAGACAAAAAAATAAAGAAAAAAATTACTGAGTAGCTAAGACATTCTATGAACACTGAATGTCAAAATGAGTGAAATCCCAATCATGAGGAGCACACAATGGGAATCTTTAAAAAGACAAGAAAATTCCCTAGACTCAAGATTATCTGTTGTCCCTACTGGCTTAAGCTTTGGGCCTGGGCCTCCCTAATGGGCTAGTACTACTTTTCTAAGACCTTTGCTTCAAAGAGCAAATATCCAGGACAAGACTCCATTAAATTTCCATCCCCAGGTTCTGTGTGTTTGTTGGTTTGTCAGATTGATATTTCTAGTACAAGGAAAAACATGAGAAGAATATGGTGGTGAGAGAAAATTTTTCTTAAAAAATAAAGATGAGGAGTTGAGACATGGTTAGAAACAGAGAGATTAAAACTCTAAAAATAATATTCAAGGATCACAAACAATGTGGACAAACTGATTCTACTTGAGACAGAATTGCATCAGACACCATAGGACTTCTGTTTCTTAGTCTGATTTTTATGAATATGACTGAACAAACTTTCCTTCTGTGACTCTAATATGTACAGGTGAAAGTATTACACTGGCTTCAAAGTATAAGTTAATGGCAAAATAATGATTTGCCTTCATCTACCTTATAATTAATTACACATATACATGTTTATCCAACCGGGCAAATTTTACAACTATCTGGTTTTCCTTCAATGCCACAGAATGGGACTGAAGGGAGGTAAAGATTGCAGCCATGGTGAGTCTACGGCAGAAGATAGGACTCAGGCAAAGTATGCATGGCAAAAGACAGCTACAGCTAGCAGGATGATGCCGTTGATGTTCACTACTGTCCTCCACAAAGGCTTCTCAGAGGTGTCTGTCAGCTTCATCTTCATAGCTGCCTCTTCTTCCTTGGTCATCTTGGGTCCCTTCTGGTCCAGCCCACAGAACAGGTCATAGGCCCGCCTGAAGCACCCTTTTCTCTCCTCAGGTACTTCTGTATCAAGGGAAAGGCATAAAATAATTATTGGACATAGAAGCAGGAGAGATGAGAAGGGGCTTCCAGGAAGATGCTATACCATGAAGCATCTACATTCTGAAGAAATTTCCCAATTTTCTTGTTTTCAGGAATAAGAGTAGCATATGATTTTCAAATGAACTTATGTACAAGACGATGTTACTGAGTGGATTTTACATCATCACAATCAACTAGCCTGAACTGTATCTCTATCAGACAAATGAAATGTATTTTGATTTAGATCAAGTGATAGTTTATGAGAGAGAAATGTTAACAATTGGCTGGTAAACTGTGGTGTGAAGAACATGGAAAACCCATCTGTGAAATACATAAACTCATAGCTCTCTGCTGTGTTACTGGAAAGCAACAAGGCTGGCATGACAGGAGTGAATTGGCTACATCTGTGAATTCTAAGCTTCCACATCAGATCCACCTGGATGGCAAAGAAAGGTCTGAACTGTTCCTGATGCAAAGTAGCAGTGATCAATACTTCTGGGCCTTAAGATCTGATATTTCATATCAATACTGATGAACCAAACTATCCAACTGGCCCTTACACCCAAAGTGGATGCCTACCAAGGGAACTGATTCCCTTCTGAGCTCAGGTGTAGCACCAGAAGTAGACGGACCCAGTTTACAATCTCTCTCTTCCACTCACTAATATGATATCAAACACACTATATTTTTGGCACCATCTTCAGGGAACACCCTTTTGCACTTTCCCATTTTTATAAGTCACAGATATTTTAAAAAGAGGTACAGAATTTTAGAACTGGAAACATCTTTAGTGATCCAGTGCATAAATGTATCACAATTGGTACCAAGTCCAGTCTTGTGGCCTTTTTGTTAATTCACTTCTTTATCTTTTGGGTATCTGTAAAAGTGGATAAATACTGGCTTCTTTGCTGTATTAATGAAAATTTAATGAGATATTTAATCTAATTATTTAATTAGAGGAAACCCATTACATAGTACATCTTAATAAGTAAAAAGCTCCTCTCACTCTCTCTTTTCTCTCTATATGAGACATGCCCTTTTGTACCTCTCCCATTTGTTTCATCCCAGTTAGATGGGCTAGCTCATGTGCCAAATAAATACATGGTTATCTGAGTTAATATAAAGTTGAGTGGTCTTGGGAAAGTCTCTACATCTTATTTTTCTCATCTATAAAATTAGAAGAAGTATACTTGCATTATCTGCCTTAAATTATGATATGGATACAAAATGTATCATTAAATGAGTAAGTTATTTATAATTAAATGTTATAATCATGTCATTATCAGTCATATGATAATGGTGGTGGTGATGCATTAGATAAGGGGATGATAATGCAATTTCCAGTCTTCCTCATAATGCTGTTTCTCAGAGAATGGTCATTGTGACACTCATGGTCCATCAAGAGAGCTTAATTTACTATGCTTTAGTATGGTAGAGTGTTTCATATTATTTCACCATAATTTATCAAAGAAAAACAATTCAAGTGCTGCCATGAATCTCAGATGTTGCCAAGCTAATTGTTTTCCCATTGAGAGAGTCTCCTCTATAATATCCCTGAGAAAAAAATATCTGAAACTCATTCCTTTCCAGATCAACTCACTTAGAAAACTCTTCCTTAAAATCAATCATATGGTGATAATTATAGTCAATTCTTAAAATATCCAAAATCCAAAAATATCCTATTTCTAATATCACTATGAAGTGTGGGGCATGAGTTAGAATACTCAAAGCTAAGGAACAGGAACTTTTAAAAATTAATTAACTTGCCCAAGGTAATGAAAAATAGAATTCATGATTCAATATCAGTTCCACCTCATTATAAAAACTCCCCCTACCCTCTCTCTCAATAGGGATTGATTAGAGGGGCATTCTATAACTCAATCATAGGCCCAGTCCTTTTTATTTTCTATTTTGAGACAGCGTCTTATTTAGTTGCCCACACTGGTCTCATATTTGCAATCCTCTTGCCTCAGCCTCTTGAATCACTGTGATTACATGTATGCATCACCAAACCCAGACCCATAACCTAGATGTGCAATAGTCTACATTCTTACTCTGAGTTAAAATTAGATGGATCCTTGGGTTCATCAGTTTCATATCTCTTCTCTCATGCAAAAATTATCTCTTCTTCCATATTAAAACTTCTTGATACTCAAGGCTCCTTATCTATGTCCTTCTAAAATCTGATACTGTCACTCAGTGTGGAAACACTTTTTAAAGGAGAAAAGGAAGGGGGAATGTTCACAGGGCTAAGGTGTAGTTTTGTTGTACAGCAATGGTCTAATAGGTGCAAGTCCTTGTTTTAATTCCAAGTACCACACAAAGGAAGAGAAAAGAAAAAGAATATGGGGGCATGTCCATGCCTGGCTGCTCCAGGAAAGCAGGAAGGAACTGCCTGTTGTCAGCATCATGGACAGCTGCCTGTGGCTCCATGTTCCTCCAGTACCCACAGAGATGCTGGTTTCAGAACTAAAACGTTCTTAGAGATTAAGGGCATATTGTTTCAGGGCCAAGACCATTAACAGTCTCTCCCTCTCAGTGCTTCAATTTGTGTCTGTAAAGTGAGATAATAAGATCATAGGACCTTTATGGCCCTTTCCAGAGCTAGAATCCTATGACATTCTTAATGGCCAGATTCAAAATTTGCTCTGCTTCATCTGGTGCTCTACTTTACATGGAGTGATGAGCGCTCCAGTCCAGTACCAGCAAAAGCATCGGATCTTGAGCTCCCCTACTTCTGCACACCACACACATCCATTCTTCATGTGTGTATCTTACCCATATGGTAAGGAAAACTTCCAACATTGAAGCTAAAGAACACATTAATTTAAAGGGAAAGCTTCTAGGCACTAACTAAGCATCATCTCAGGCTTCCAGAAAAATTTGATTTTTTAAGTCAGGTATGGTAAGACATAAGATCCCAATAGTCTCTATTTTTTTTTATTCTCTTTATGTTACTAGAATCAAACAAAGCTTCCTCCCCCATCTGTTCTGTTTCCAAACTATGTCAGAAGAGCCTGACCCTTCTCTTACCTATGACTATGCCCCCAAAGCATGGTCAAGTCAAGGTGGCAAATTTCTCATGCACTGATTCACTGAGCACTGTAAATTTGAGGGGTAAGGCAGCTGAAATGGCCCTGTACCTCCCTCCCTGACTTCAACCAAGCCTCATAGTAAACTTTCCAAAATACACTTATCCATCTCATCTTTCCGCATTCCTCCTAGGGAAGGGATCTGAGCTCTGATGAAGGCATTTAGTGAAAGCTTTACACAGTCTTGCTGTTGTAAGAGTATTTTTTTTTTTGGTACCAGGGATTGAACTCAGGGGCACTCGACCACTAAGCCATGTCCTCATCCCTGCTTTGTATTTTATTTAGAGACAGGGTCTCACTGAGTTGCTTAGTGCCTTGCTTTTGCTGTAGCTAGCTTTGAACTCATGATTCTCCTGCCTCAGTTTCCGGAACTGCTGGGATTACAGGTGCATGCCACCACACCCAGCAAGAGTAAGTTTTTATGGCTTGGAAATCAGTTTTGACTCATAAATCACCTATTTCAATGGTATCCTTCGGTGCTTCTTGGAGGTCCTCCTCTTCTGCATCCAGGTCAATACGTTCCTCTGTGCTGTTGCGCAGACTCCAACAGAGACGATAGAGCTGTGGGAAAACAGAGAAAAAGTTAACATAAAAACCCAGTGTCTTCAGCCAAGCAGTAGGAGAGCAAAGAGATAACCATCAAGAAAGGAAAAGGAATGTGGACTCTTAGTACCAACAAAGAACATAGATTACATTTCTCACCCACAGCATAATCTCTCAATATGTTGGAAACTTAGATGTAAATCATACCCAAGTATACATGATATATGGATATTCAGAAGTTAAAGAGACTGCCTCAAGTAAAGAAATGTTTGTACAGTGATTGTTTTTACACATGATAAATGAATTGCTCCTTTTGGCACTGATACTAGAAAGCAAGACTAGACAAAACAACCATTTGTCCAGATCAGCAGTGTGAGGTCATAATTTTATACTATGTCATATTATGAGGATAAGAATATGCAGAGCGATACATCAAGTTGGTAGAATAGAGATAACCAGCACAGTTTCCTCCTCCATGGGATGGAAATAAAGAAAAACAGTGTGTAACTGCTCACGGAAGTGAGGGACTATGAGTGAACACTGGAAATTGATGGCACAGAAAATTAAACCTGGTGAATTACACAGACAACAGAGACTAGCAAAGCAAAAAGGGTAGAATACCTCAGCTCCTGGTGCCTGACACCCTGGTCAGGGGAAGGCACTGATTCCTGCAAGAAGGTAAAGTCTACATGAAGGGTCATGGCATGGCATAGAAGGATGCACCCTGCAGACTAACAGCTTAAATAAACAGATGACCTGGAGTCTGCTTAGCAAGCTAGCTTTAAAGAAGGAACTCAGCTGCATCTCTAAGCAAACCCTCAGAGTGCTATGGCCAAGATTCATCTTGAGTAGGGTCCTATTGTTAGGGACTAAACTGCTCTGGGGTCAGAAAAGAGTCCTATTAACATTCCTGTGCACTGACTGGGTAGGCAGTGGCCAAATGAGCTAGTATGACTTGGAAGAGTGTCCCTAACAAAATTTTGCTGAGAAATTTATGCAAGTGTTTATTTATGATTTATTTATTTATGATTTATTTATGCAGGGAACATAGACTGCAATATATACGAGAATGGAGGGAAGAGTAATTCAGCAGTTCTCCCTTCTGTTATTTGAAGTGACCCCAGAAGTATATTGTTTTGTGTGGGAGCCAGGTCTGAAGTCATGAGGATGGAGACTGGCAAATTGTTTTGTTCCCACAATCAAAAGTACAGAACAAAGAATATTAAATGCTACAATAGAGCAGTGCAAACTCACATGCAAACCTATCAGAACAAAAGCAGATTTCTCAGTGGAAAATATTATCACCAGGAGGATATGGACTGATGTATTTCAAATACTGAAAGAAAGTAATGCCAATCTATATTAGTATACCCAGCAAAGTTATTCTTCACATTTGAATGATAAATAAGGTCCTTCCATGATAATCACAAAGGGAGTTTATGACCATGAAGCCAGCACTGCAGAAGATACTTAAGGGACTTTTATACCTATAAGAGGAAGAATGATAACTACAATCATGAGAACACAAGAAAGAATAAATCTCACTAAAAGGGTTGATAAGCAAATGAAAATTAGGAAAAAAACAAACTAATGTGTAAAACTATCAATCTTCTAAGATTAATAAGAAAAACAAACATAGAATATCCAAAACTACCAGAAGCTAAACTAACAAAATTATATAAACCTATACACACCTTTCAACAATAATCCTAAATGTAAATAGTCTGAATCCTCCAATTAAAAAATACATACTGGCCAACTGGGTTAAAAAACAAAATGTAACAATTTGCTGCATACAAGAAACTCATGTCATCATCAAGGGCATGAACAGACTTAAAGTGAAAGTATGAAGAATGATATTTCAAGCAAATGAAATATAAAAGCAAATAGCAGTACCTGTCCGCATATCTGACATAACTGACTTTTAGCCAAAATTTGTCAGAAGAGACAAGGAAGATCACTACAGATTGATAAAGGGAACAATTCATCAAGAAGATATAATGATTATAAATATATATGCACCAAATGTCAGGGTACCTAGTTTTGTAAGACAAATACTATTGAATATAAATGGAGAGATAAGCCCCAATACAATAATAGTAGGCAACTTCAATAACACACCCTCAGCAAGTGATAGATCATCCAGACAATAAACCTTCAAAGAAACATCATAGTTAAATTATACTATAGATCAGATGGACTTAATATACAACCACAGAAATTTCACTCCAAAACTGTACAACACGTATTTTCACAAGTACATGGAAGATTTTCCAAAATAGATCACATATTAGGCCATAAATCAAGTCTTAAAAATACCAAAAAAATTGAAACAATTTCTTACATCTAATCAGATCATAATGGAGTGAAACTAGAATTAAGAGGAAGAGGAACTACAGAAATTATACAAACACATGGAGATTGAACAATATATATATATATATTGTTTGGTGGTATGGGGTTACTCTACCACTGAACTACATCCCCAGCTCTCTCTTTAATTTTATTTTGAGACAGGATCTTACTAAGTTGCCCAGGGTAACCTCAAACTTGTGATCCTCCATGACAAGTATCTGGGATTATAAGGTGTTCACCACCACACCAAGCTGACAATACACTTTTGAATGAACAGTGAGTCATTGAAGAAATCTTGAAAGATATTTAAAAATTTCTAGAATCAAATGAAAATGGAAATCTAACATACCATAATTTGTGGGATACAATGAAAACAGTATGGAGATGAAAATTTAGAGCTATGAGTGTTTGTATTAAAAACAACCAAAAAACCCCCACAGAGATCATATCATAAATAAATAACCTAGGCATTGCAAGAACTTAGAATGACAAAAACAAACTAAACCTCAAGTCAGTAGAAGGACAGAAATAATAAAGATTAGGGTATAAATAAATAAAGTAGAGACTAAATGAACAATACAAAAGATTGATGAAACAAAGAGTTGGTTCTTTGAAAAGATAAAATTCACAAGTCCTTGACTAAACTTACCAAAAGGAAGAGAAATAAGACCCAAATAATTAGAAAGAGATAAGAAGGGGAATATACAATAGATACCATTGAAATTCATAGGATGATTTGGGAGTATTTAAAAAAACTATATGTAAAACAAATTGGAAAATATCACAGAGATGGACAAATTTTTGGACACATATAACATTCCAAACTGAACCAAAATAGAAAATAAAATTAAAATAAAAAGCCTAAATAGATCAATAACAAGAAATGAGATTGAAATAGTCATAAAAGGTTTTCTAACAAAGAAAAGCTCAGAACAAACAGATTAACTGCTGAATTTTGCCAGACTTTTAAAGAAGAAATAATGCCAAATACCAAAGCTCCTCAAAATATTCCATAAATTAGAAAGGGAAGGTACCTTTTAAACCCATTCTACAAAGCCAGTATCACCCTACTATCATAACATGATAAGGATACAACACACATACACATAAGAAACTATAGATCAATATCCCTAATGTCATAGTCCAAAAATTCTCAAATACTTGCAACTTGAATTCAACAGCACATTAAAAAGATCATACACCATGAGAAAGTTAGTTTCATTTCAATGATGTAAGAATGGTTCCACACACACACACAAATCAATAAATGCAATACAGCACACAAATAGAACCAAAGACAAACGTCACATGGTCATCTCAATAGATTCAGAAAGAGCCTTTGATAAATTGTGTATCTCTTCATGATAAAAATTCTGATTATAATTAGATATGATAGGAAAATCAGAATTTTGTTGAACTTCCTTATACTTGTTTAGAATATAGTATTGTTTTTAGTCTGAATTACATAATGCTTTAATTAATTAGGACCATAAAATTCTTATTCTAGCCCTGTCTGTTGAGAAGGCATGTTGGAAAGTGAAAAAAAAACTGATTACATTAGGGATAGAAGTATCATATGTCAACACAGTAAAGGCTCTATATCACAAGCCCATAGCTGACATCATTCTGAATGGGAAGAATAAAAGGATTTCCTCTAAAAATCAGGAAAATATGAGAATGTCCACTCTCATCACTCTTATTCAATATATAAAATTTCATCTGGAGCAATCAGGCAAGAAAAAACAAATAAAAGAGATACAAAGAAAAAATGAGGAAGTCAAATTTCCCCTGGTAGCAGATAGTACAACTTTATACTTAGAAAGCCTTAAAGACTATACACATACACACACACACACACACACACAAAAAAAAAAAAAAAACCTTTTAGAACTGATAAACAAATTCAACAAAATAGCAGAATATAAAACCAAACATATAAAATCAATAACTTTTTAATACACCAAAAATGAACTTCCTGAGAAAGAAATTAGAAAAAAAAACTATTCAGAATAAGTGAAAAAAACACAAATAAATAAAATATTCAGGAATAATCTTGACCAAAAAGATGAAAAAAATTCTACAATAAAAATTTTAAAGCACTGAAGAAAGAAACTGAAGAAGACACTAGAAGGTGGAAAGAACACCAGTGGGAGAACGAATATGTTTAAATGAATACACCACCAAAAGTGATCTACAGATTCAATATAATCCTCATCAAAATACCAATGACATTCTTCACAGAACTAGGAAAAACAATACTAAAATTCATATGAAAGCACAAAAGACCCATAACAGCCAAAGTAATCCTGGGCAAAAAGAGCAACACTGTGGGGATGATAATTCCTAGTTTCAAAATATACTAAGAGCAATAATAATAAAAACAGAATTGTATTTAAATAGAATAGAGGACTCAGAAATAAATTCATGCATCTATAGCTAACTGATTCTCAACAAAAGTTCCAAATACATATGTTGGAGAAAAGACAACCTCTTTAACAAATTATGTTGGGAAAACTGAATACCCATTCGGAAAAGATTGAAACTAGGCCCCCTGTACAAAAATCAACTCTCACCCTGTACAAAAATCAACTCAAATAAATAAATAAATAAACTCAAAATGAATCAAAGATATTAATGTAAGACCTGAAGCTTTTAAATGACTAGAAGAAAGCATAGATATTGCTACAGGCAACAATTTCCTGAATAGGATTCCAATAGCCAAGGAAACAAAATAATTGAAAAACAGGATCACATCAAATTAAAAAGCTTCTGCACAGCAAGAGAAATAATCATCAGAGTAAAAAGAAAAACAACCTACAATATAGGAGAAAAAAATCTTTGCTAGCTATTCATTTGACAAAGGATTAATATCCAGAATATATAAATATTTTTTAAAAGTTAACAATAAAACAATCTAATCAAGAAATGAGCAAATGATGTGAACAGATACTTCTCAAGAGAAGAGTATGAATAGCCGATAAATATGTTTTTAAATGATGAATTTTTATTCATCAGGCAAATGCAAATCAAAACTATACTGAGATTTCATCTGACTGGGAAGTAGTCAGAATGGCTATTATAAAAATTAATAAATAAATTACAAACACAAGTAAGGATGTGGAGAAAAAAGAACCCTTATATAATCTTGGTAGGAATGTAAATTAGTTTAGTCACTATAGAAATCAATATGGAGTTTCCTCAAAAATCTAAAAATAGAACTATCATACAATCCAGCTATATCAATCCTGGGTATATATCCAAAAGAAATAAGTCAGCATAGCAAAAAGGTAACTGCACACCCATGTTTATTACAGCACTATTCAGAATTGTAAAGATACTGAATCAGCATAGGTGCTCATTAACAGATGAACAGACTTTAAAATGGTATGTATACACTATAGATATCATTCAGTCATAACAAATAATGAAATCATGTCATTTTCAGGAAAATTGATGGAATTGGAGGACGTTAAGTGAAATCAGCCATACAAAGAATAAGTGTGGCATGTTTTCTCATGCCCATTGGTACTTGCTTTCTCTACTTTAAAATGAAACAGAGAGCTAAATGTGTTTGGGGCTGCAAGACTAAGCATGGGGAAGCAGGTGATAGCTTTATCAAAGAAAAACCTGTGACAGATAGTCAATTAACATCATGGTGATTCTGCAGTTACAAAATCAGTTTTTATTTGACATACAGGTTTGTCACATCTTTTGAAAATTTGGCAAGGAGGTTGAAGGTCTCTTAATAATTCTATAGATCCTTGTATTCATGTATGCATGAATAAAGTATTAATAAAAACTTTTCTCTTTTTTCTATGGGTATATATGATCTTGGGTTAGCTTTCTACCTCTGTTCCCTTGGAAAACTGAAAAAGGTGGAATACCAATTGGATTGGTTTTGCAGATTTATATTGCTTATAGTCCCATAATTACTAATTTTTCTACATTTGGAAGGATACAAGTGAACCCTAAATCAATGGAAGAATCTAGATTTAAGAAGAATGCTTTTCATTTATGAAGTCTTAAATCAATTGGACCTTGATATTATGCTATGGTTTGAATATCAGCTCCAAAACTTATTTTGAAATTTAACTGCCAATGTGACAGTATTAACAGGTGTCAGCATCCTACAGTGATACAGGAACATCACTGTTTATAGCAGTGCAATTCACAATAGTCAAGTTAAGGAACAATCCCAGGTGCCCATTAACAGATGAATCAATAAAGAAAATGAATCATGTATACACAACAGACTTTTACTCAGCTATAAAGGAGAATGGAATAATGCCATTTGTGGTAAATGGATGTAATTAAAGAACATCAGGCTAAGTGAAATAAGTTAGATTCACAAAATCAAAGGTCAACTGTTTTCTTATACAAGCAGAAATTAGAAACAAGGGGGAAACAGGGTTGGGGAATTCCACAAAAACAGAAGAAAGATCAGTAAATTACAGAAAAGGGATTAAGGATGATAGAGGATAGATGGGAAAAGGGAGGAACTGCAGAACTGAATTGATCAAGTTATGCTATGTACATATATGAGTATACCACACTGAATTCCACCTCCATGTATATCTACAAAACACCAATTAAAAACAATGAATAAACAGAAGTAAGTTCAGTAGAGTAGAGGAAGAAAACTGGGACAGGAAGGACAGAAGAAAATATGCAACTACTGGGGATTGAAATGGACCAGATTATATTCCATATATGTATGAATATGTCAAAATGAACCCCACTATTATTTATAACCATAATGCACTAATAAGAACTTTTTTAAAAAAAAATGGATAATTAGATCATGAGGACTCTGTCCTGATGAGTGGATTAAATCCACTATTGTGAGAGCACTTTTCTGATAAAAAGATGAAGCTTGGCCTCCATTAATTCATATCCCTCTCTCATTCTTTCTTGCCACATAATGCCTTCCATGAGATTATGATGTGGCAAGAGGGTCCTTACCAGGTGCACCCCTCAATCTTAGACTTACCAGCCTCAAGGACAGAAAATGAAATAAATTTTAGTATTTATAACCTATCCAATCTGTGGCATTCTGTTATAGCAGCAGTAAACAGACTAAGCTATATTGTTAGAAATATCTTGAATTTTATAAACAACTCTTTGGCAGCGTAAGTGGAAAAATATCAAAAGGTAAAACATACTACAGATTTCCCTGAGTTTAGAAATTTTTGTAACCAGGCCTCAGAAGCTTCAACTATGGGAAAGTTACAGGAAACACCAGTTCCTATTTTGAACATGGGTTTCTGAGCCATGGTAGCCCCATGCTTGCTCATGTGATCTAATTTCCCTTGCACATGAACTATCACTCAGGGAGCAGGATCTACAGAATACCCACTGGACTGAAGTGTGTACTGTCAAGACTCCCATTGAAAATGCATTCTCAAAACTGCTCAGCTGGCATACCATGTTTCCTGTGTCCTTCTACACAAAACTAAGGGCAAGTACAAACCACTTTATTCATGCAGGTGGGAGATGTTTCTCGTTGATCTGAGGTCAACCAAGAGTGCTGCAACATGAATGTGAAACAAGGACAGAAGAGGTCTTCTGAATGGATACTCACATGCACATCCGGAATGGGCTTGGTGAAGAGGGAGATGACCACAATGGTGATGACAGAAATGACAAAGAGGATAATGGCAAAATACAAGTAGTGGACCCCACAGATAATGGTGGGACAGTTGCTGGGCTCCATGCAGCTCCCAGTTCCATAGGCAAACTCAGTAATCATACGGGAAATCCCAATCAGAAATCCTAGGATGAGTCCCCAAAAGGCTCCCTGTGAAAGAAAACCCTGAATTAATGAGTGCTGAACCCACAAAATAGGTGGGAATTCTAACATTCCAAGAGATGGGCAGAGGCAAAGGAATAAAGCTGAGAGAAACGGTAGCTCTAGACCATCTGAAGCCAGACCATTATGGTGCAGGACAGGGCTGGGACTGTTAAGTCAGGCTTCCAGGGGGTCTCTCTATCTTGTTTCAGCAGCATGATTTCACCTGCATCATTAAACAAGGACTTATAATATAATGAGGTAAAGTGACCAATAACTCATATAGAATTTTAATCTCCCCTAAATTCCAAAAATTCCTTTTAACTTAAAAAATATTTGAACTCTCCACCTCACCTATTGTCACCACCTGCCTCCAGATTTACACCCATTCAGATATAAAGTAACTACTTGTAAAATATTTTGTCTTCCTTGAAGACACTGAAAAAAAAATTGGTATTTGTGGGGTAGAGAAAGTAAATTTTCCATATATAAATAATCCTTCCTTCTTTAGTCCCCTTTACAAATAAAAACTCACTCTTTTTAGTTTAATAACATAATATTATATAATGCATTTTATATAATATCAAATTTGGGGTTTGCATATGAGATACACAGAAACTTTCCAGAGACTAAAAGAGTTAGGGGACTATTTTTCAGAGAATTTTTTAGACTCTTCTTTCTTCTTCCCTCCCTTTCTTCCCTATCTTTTCTTTGCTTTCTTTCTCTTCTTTCTTTACCTTCCTTCACCTTTCTTTCTTTGCTTCCTCCTTTGCTTGCTTTTTTGCCTTTTGGTCTGCACTCACTTAAGGTCCATATCTATTTTTGAAAGCTACATATTAAGTGATCAAGTGGCAAATGATAATGTGCAGTCAGAACAGTAGCCAAAATGAATCTTCATGATTTTGTCAAGGGTTGATCAGTCCCTTAGCTAGCCACAGTTATTCCTACACTATAATCCAAGTGTGTTAAATTAACAGCTATTCTTTAAGTATGCCATGTATGTTTATGTCCTTTGTTCAGGTCATTCTTTCTATCTAGGAGACTTGGGATAGTCTCTTCCTGGTAAATTTATCCTATCTTAAATACAATAAAATAGAGAGAACTGGGTGGGTTCACTCTCCTTGCTGTGGCCATAACACTGTGAACACACCTCCATGCCAGCCCAACTCTCCTGCCATGCAATCACTCATTCAATTCTCTGCCTCCTCATTTGAACTGGGAGTTTTCCCAGAAAAGGAACCAAGTTTCATTCACTTAATGTAGCTAGTGCCTGGCACCATGCCTGGTATCTGAAATTGTCTATTAAATTAATAAATGAGTAAGAAAAAGGTTTTCCATTCATCCTCCATAATGTATTCCTTCAAAAAACATTTTTTTTTAATTTTAGTTAGTATGAATAATTCTGATAAAACTTACCAAGAATTTTTTCTTTTTTGGCAATTAACTTCTATTCCTTCATCATTACTCTCAAGTGGCTCTTAAAACAATTAATAGCCTTTCATATTTTCTTGTGCATTTTAGGATATCCCTGACAACTAACTGTTGGGAGTCACCCTGGCTCCAAAGACTAACTTCCCCATCCCCCAAGAAGAGCTGTCCAATGGTGAGCCCTGCTGGCTCACATGATCCTGCCATCCAATGGTGAACCCTGCTGGCTCACATGACCCTGCCATACAATGGTGAGCACTGCTGACTCATATGATCCTTACCCACCAATCAGACTAGCCCTGCTGGCTCACTTGATCCTTACCCACCAATCAGAAAGCACCCCATGCCAACTGTCAAACCACCCCCGGTTCTATAAATATGCAGAGCTGTTCCTCAATAAAGGGGCATTTTTCTCTGATGGCAAGCCTTGATGGTTCTTTCACTAACCACTAGGTATATGCAGGGTTCTCAGAAGCAAAACTATCAAAATGTTTCCAGACATTGACAAAGTCCCCCTTGAAGAGGGTGAAAAAATACTTCCAATGGAGAATAAATATGGTCTATCTCAATTCTTATCTTTATTTTTGAAAACACTGGTTTATTGCCGAATTAGATATTCTTGTGGCCTGATGTAGTACCCACCTGGGCTCTTAGACACAAGTTGACAATTTGTATTTTAGAAATATTCCAGGGAACCAGCTTTCTGCTAATCACTACTGAAATTTGTCCAAAGATATGCATCTATGTCTCTAACCTGTTGAGATTACTTTCTTGTTTAATTCTGATTTCTCCAAGGTGTCTGGAATAACTGGATTATCTTTCTCATAGCAAATGTGGAAAGAAGAGATATACCTGTTGTATTTTGTGTACCTCAAAACTGAGTTGTTCCACTGAGGTACTTCCCTGATGCAGTACATATCTGTTTCTGTCCTTTTGAGAGTGAGGAAATGTTTCCAATCAAAACTATGTTATCAATTTTATTTTATTCTTTCAGATAGTAAGCCCATGGTCAGCACTGCTGCTCTTTCTCAGTCCTTCCCAGGTAGACAGATGGTTGGAAATAGAGACAGCTGAGCCACACCCCAGACATACAACATATCCAAATGCATCTTTCTCATTGTGTTTTAAAAACAGTAATGGCATCCCACTGTTGGCTTAAATTCTTTAACCTGGCTTTCAAAGTGATCATTCCTATTCTATCTTTGACCTTCTTTTCCAGCTGCATCTTCGATTATTCACAAACTCTCTCTCCAGCCAGGTAAGATTCCTTGCAAGTCCCTTGTCTTCCCCTTATCCTTTCTTTTCCACATTGGGAAAATCTCTTCTCTCTGCTTAAATTCCTTCTCTTTCTTTTTCAATTTTTAAATCCCTCCAGACCCACTTTTCCAAGATATCTTCTCAAATGATTTCAGCACATGTTGATTGGTACAGCCTTTCCTGAATCTCTTCCTACTTACATTTTGAATCAAACTTTTAAAAATGCCTCAATTCTTATCTATCTTACATTGTTTTTCAGATAAAATGTTTGAGCAACAGGACCTTTTTCTTCACGGGTCCTGAATAGTGCTGGCTGAAAAACCAAGTTCATACCATAGCCTCTGGAAGTAATTATGCTAGGATTTCCTGTGGAGTTGCTCACCCAGAGACTACAAACTTCATAGGAGGCTCCATGAGGTCAGGTCAGAATCACCAAGGTTGGATAGAAAATGTACAATATGAGTTGGGACCCTGTACCAAGAAGAACAGGGTACTTATAGAGAAAGCAGACCCAGTATTAACTCCTGAGGAGTTTATTCCAACTCTTAGAGAGTTCCCATGGTCCATAGAGACTTTCTCATATAAACCTTTAGAGGTACATCCATTTCTTATTAAGATCTCTGGGAAACAGAATCCCTTCCACAGAGAATATACCCATAGAAAATTCTGTGGCAGACTGGCTTTTCTGAATATGTCAAAGCAATACCTACAGGTTCAGTGATTCTCTTCCAGAAAACAGCAAGCAGGAAGACAGCTGCAATGGGTGGTCCCAAGTAACTGGTAATGGACTGGATATAATCGAAGAGCTGCCCACTTTGTGCTGACTGCACAATGGGCACCCAGGCAATACTGATGGCAATCAGAAAGAGAATGAACAACCTGAAATCAAATTCCCCATGACAGAATGTTAATAAATAATCCTACATAAATGTATATATATATATATATATATATATATATATATATATATATATATATATATATATATATTTGTGTGTGTCCCACACATATATACACCTCTCACTTTAACACATATATATATATATATATATATATATATATACACACACACACACACACACACACATATGTATCTGTTCAAATACATACATAATATGACCACAGAAAGGAAAAGTAATAAGCAAATTCATTCTTGAGTCTTTTTTCCTCCCTATTCATCTGTGGCTATGGGTAAGTGAAACACACTTGGTTTTCGATAGTCATTTAGGCCAAATCATTCCCACATAAAAATCCCACTTTGGGAGGCAGAAGTGTACAGGGACAAGGCTATATACTTAGGAGCAAAACAGTTCTGAATTAAATTTCTTTCTATCTTTGTGTGATACAGGACACATTGTTTAGCCTCTCCCTGAATCTCAAATTCTCCAACTCTAAACAGAGAAATATATGACTGACCAAAAAAAAACCAACAACAAACTGAAATAAGCATTAGTGAGATTAAAATGCCTCACAAACAGTAGGAATTCAATAAATAGTAAAAACACTATTGTTTTATTTAAAAATCTATTGTTATTATTTTCTTCTCCTTCTTCATAATAAAATTTAAAACAAGCCAATGAAAGTTTATAAAGGAACAGTCTAGATAGGAAGGGACACAATTAGGTATTTCCAGTTCTCTCCCTCTTGAGCTTTACCATGTCCTAAAAAGATTGGTGAGTCTCACACAAGTTCTTATTACTTGGCTCTTGTTTTAACTATAAATTAAGGGGATCCTTGTGAAAATAGAAGAAAGAACAGCAGAATAGAGGAATGGGATTGAGGAGAGGGAGGAGGGATGGAAAAGGGGAGGAACAGCAGAATGAAATTAACCAAATTATGAATATATCACAATGAATTTCATTTTTTTATATAACTATAATGCTCCTCTTTAAAAATAAAAACCAACAGGGGCTATAGTTGTAACTCAGTGGTAGAGCATTTGCCTGTCATGTATGGGGCCCTGGGTTTGATCCTCAGTATCACATGTATATAAATAAGGGAATAAAATAAAAGATCCATTGCAACAAAAAAAAATACATTTTAAACAACAACAACAAATGAATGCAAGGAAGAGCACTAGAATAGAAGAGAATCAGGAAGAGGGAGAAGAGGAGGGAAAGGGGAAGAACTGGGGATTTAAATGCAGCAAATTATGTTATATGCCTCTAAGAATATGTACCACTATTAAAACTATAATACACTAATGGAAGCACTTAAAAAAGGCTTTGATTCACTTACTTCACATGTATTTAAGGCAAAAGAGTCTTAAACCGACCTTCTTAAAGATGTGTTTTTAAATATTTCTCACTCTGAAATTCCCTCCCACTGCCCCCCATTTACCCAAATTCTACGTACCACTTTGAACGCAGTTAAGGTTCTTCCTCCTCCAGGACCCTTTCCCAAGTATGCCACACTACGCTCACCTCTCCCTTATCTGAGTCCCTAATTGCCCTTACAATCCACATAGCAGAGTTTGAAACTGTTTCACCTCACTCTGAGCTTTTATAGGAGACTGAGATAAGCCACAAGATAAGTAGTTATGGTATGTAAGGAAGTGTGAGACCCAACACAATCTTAGGATTAGGGAATCCAGACCTGTCCAAAGCAACAAAGTAGTCTTCTTTCCCATTTTGTACTTGAGTCTTAAAAATAACAAGGAGAGTTAGTAAGTGCCTTTTTAAGGTAAAGCCAGTCAAGGTAGTAATACTATTTTCTATGATACAAAGTAGTAGATTCTGGGCTGGTCAGATCTCCCTTGGCTGCCTTTCTTTATCCCAAAGACCTGTGGATTGGCAGCCCATATTCCTCCTGAACTCATTGGGAATCTTTTCTTTAACTAACATCCCAGGGTTTGTTCCACCTGACCTGAGAAGAGTGCTTTAGCCCCCTGAAGAGACATATCAGCAGTCAGACACACACTATAAACCCAGTAACTCAAGAAGTTGATTTAAGAGAATCGCATTTGAGGCCAGCCTGGACAATAGAGCAAGACACTGTCTCAAAATTTAAAAAAATTAAAGGGTTGAGATTGCAAGTCACTGGTAGAGTATCCCTTGGTCACATTCCCAGTACCAGGGAGATCGGGGAGAGAGGGAGGTGGGGAGAAAGAGAGAAGAGACACATAAGCATATCTATCAATCCTGTATCCAGGGCACCTGTTTAATGGCTAATGATGATAATGAGCACACCTGATCCATTTGACAATGTTTTGATATTTTCAGAATTCTGTTGATAAATTCATTTATGACAGTCAAAAATGTCGAGCATTGATGACTTCCAATTCTCCAGTTTAAAGTTAAACATTACTGAAGGGTAAATATAACAAACCACCAATGTCACTCTACCAGCACTGTCCAATCTTGCCTAGCTGATCATTTTCTGATCATTCAAGTTTTTGCATGATAGATAACTGTATTTACCTTCCTGCAATCATGAGCTCTTTCTCAGATGCTTGCTTCCGGATCTTTGTGTAGATGTCCATGGTGAAGAGGGTGCTGGCACTGTTGAAGATGGAAGTTAGGGAGCTCATGAGAGAAGCCATCATAACCGACAGCATCAGGCCTCGCAATCCTGGAAGACAAGGAAGTTCTGAGTGGCACATCTAGTACTTTAGCAGGACTCAACTTTTGTTTGCTTCTGAAACTGTGCCATCTTCTCTAGTTTTTCCAGATAAAATAAATGTTTTAATTTGGGCATAGTGGTGCACACCTGTAATCCCACTGGATCAGGAGGCTGAAGCAAGAGGATCACAAGTTCAAAGCCAGTCTCAGAAATTTAGCAAGGCCCTAAGCAACCTAGTGAGATCCTGTCTCTAAATAAAATATTTTTTTAAAAGGGGTGGGTTGTGGCTTATTGGTTAAACAGCCCTGGATTAAACCTGCTACCAAAAGCAAAATAAACAAAAAATAAATAAATGTTTTAAGGAATGGGCCATGGCTTTAAATTATAATTCCATGACAACCAACAAAGCTCTAGATAAAAAAAAAACATATATGAGGTAAATATTTCACAATTGAATTATAATGATGATGATGATGGTGGTGGTGGTGATGTTTCCAGTTGAGGGATTTTTTATATGATCTTTCACTCAAAAGATTCATGATATAGCTCAAAGATATTTAAATGTGGGTTCAAAAAATAAGATTATCAAGAAAATAAAAAGACAGCTATAGAATGGGAATAAAGGTGTACAATTCATATATCTGGTAAGGACTTACTATACAGACCATATAAAGAACTATCATACCTCAATAATAAAAATACAAATAACCCAATTAAAATGGCAGATGATCTGAATAGTCATTTCTCCAAAGACATACAAATGGTCAATAATGACATGAAAAGATGCTTGACATCAAGAAAATTCAAACCAAAGTCACAATAATTATTATTTCACACCAATTAGGATGGTATTTGAAACATATAACAAAAAGAGAAATGTGGGCTTTCTATTGCTGGTAGAATTGTAAAATGGCAAAGTTACTATGCAAAATTGGAAGTTCAGCAATCAGTTAAACATAGTTACCATATGATTCATCAGTTTCACTCCTAAGTGTCTACTCAAGGGAAATAAAAACATACATCCACACAAACATATAAGCATAAATGTTCATGGCGCCATTATTTATAACATCTGAATAATAAAAACAACTCAAATGTCCATCAAGTGATCAAAGGTTAAAGAAAGTAAACAATTGATAAATGGATTATCATGCAATGGAATATTATCCATTAATAAAAAGAAATAAAGTGCAAATACATGCCACAACACAGATCAACCTTGAAAACATACTCTGTTAAAGTAGACAGTCACAAAGGACCATATATTATTATATTATTCCTTTTATATGAAAGATCTGGAACAGGCAAATATATAGAGACAGAAAGTGTATCTCTGGTTATTTAGGACTGAGAGTTTGGGTTGAAACAAGGAAGGGCTGCTAATTTCTTTAACAGGTGCAGAATTTCTTTATTAGGTGAATAAAAATTTTCTAAAATGGATTAGGCACTACTCTATGAACACACTAAAAATCATTGAGTTGGACACCTTGAATAGGCAAATTATATGGAATGTCAGTTAAAGCTCAATGAAGTTTTTATTGAAAGAAGACAAAGCTCTATTTCAAACTCTGACCTAAGCAAGTTATGAAAAATTGTAGGCCTCATTTCTTGAGGCCTAATATGACATCCACTCATGTCAGAATAAGAGGTGTTGTTTTAAAAGTTTTCCCAATCACAGCAAGCATGGTTGGCTATAAATCTCTGTCATTCTTTCAATACCTCTGTGGGCACACAATTGCACCTGCTGAGGCCAGAAGGCCAGGGCAAGCTGAAGGCCCACCATCACTGCACAGATTTACAGTCTCAGTAGCAAAGTGACTTTAAGGATCACCTAGGCTTAATATCTACTTGCTACAATGGGTTCCTTCCACAACTCTTGGTATGCCCAAACCCTCAGTAATAGGAAATCTGCTACACCACAGGAAGCCTATTCCCTCTTGGACAGTTCTGACCAGGCTAAAATATGCCTCTTTATAGCTTCAGTCCTTATGCAACTCAGTGGGAGAGATCTTACCTTTCCCTTCTTTACCTCTTTCATAGGTTTAAAGATAACTTGTGATGGGAGGGGAGGGGAGAGGATGTGGGGATAGGAAAGATGGTAGAATGAAACAGACATTATTACTATATGTCTATATGTGACTGCATGACCAATATGACTCTGCGACATGTATACTCAAAAAATAAGAAATTATATCCCATCTATGTATGATATATCAAAGTGCATAAATGCATTCTACTGTCATGTATAATTAATTTAAAAAAAGTATAAAAAAGATAACTCATGTCTCCTTGAGTTCTGTATTCTCTAAGCTAAATATCTTCAGTTTCTTTCAATATTCCTACATAATTTAGGAATCCAACTATATAGAACTTGACTCCTATTTCCATTAACTTCAATAGATTTATTGAGTCAACATTCATGCCTGTTATGATTTGGATCTGAAATGTTCCCAAAAGGCTCATGTGTTGAAGGCTCAGTCCCTAATGCACCTTTGTTCAGATGTGGGGCTTTTGGGAAGTGATTGGATCATTAAGGCTCAAACCTCATTAGTGGATTCATCCATTGATGGATGCATAATTTGATAGCACTATTGGGAAGTGGTAGAAACTATAGGAGGTGGGTCCTCATTAAAGAGAGTGGGTCCTTGAGGCAATGCCCTTATGTACTTAAGTTCCTGTTGTCTGTCTCCTTGTCTGTCTGTGAGTACACACTCACCACAAGAATTAAGTAATTCATACTTCTCTCTCCTTCTGGCTGTATGAGGTAACTTTCCTCTGCCACACCTTCCCCACCATTAAGTTCTGCCTCACCAAGGCCTAGAATCAAATGGAATGAAACCTCTAGTGACTAGAATCTCTGAAACCATAAGCCAAAACAAATCTTTCCTCCCTTAGGTTGATTTTTTTCTCAGGTGTTAGGCCACAGACACAAAGCTAATAAACACAACGTAGCAGTTGTCTTACTCATGCTTTAAATATAGCCTGCACTGCTCTGCAATTGTGACTTATTTTTAAATGGACATGTTTTTTCTCTTCTCCCCCTGCCTAATCTCTCCACTTTTCTAATCTTGGGGGAAACAGGATTACCCTTCTTCCCCCATACTAAGCCTAGTTGTCTGTCTGTGAGTATACACTCACCACAGGAATGAAGTAATTCATACTTCAGAGATGGTACCATATCTTAGAAATCTTACAAATGAGCAAATGAATTCTGACCCCCATCAGGGCACACCTGGAATGTAGCCTTTCAGAGCTCTCTGTTCTTCCTGATAGGCAGAATCATAGACTCTGGTGTAGTGTCACCCCCTCCTCCACAGAAAATCTTAATTAAGCTTCTCCAGATATCCTCACCATAACTGATCTTAAAATATCAGCAAAAGAATCTCTGCAAAACAGTTCACTATAGTTAAGCTTCCTATTTCCTGTTGCTCTATCTTACAATAACTAAAATTGGCCACGGCCTGAAGGAGATCAGCACTCCAGGAGGCTGATTCATAGTGGAATAGGGAGCGTGAGCATGGGAGGAATAGAGGAACTCTATTCCTAGATAGGGCAGAGGGGTTGGAGGGGAAGGGAGGGGGCATGGGGTTATTAATGATGGTGGAATGTTATGGACATGATTATACAAAGAACAGGCATGAAAACACGAATTGGTGTGAATATACTATGTATATAACCAGAGATATGAAAAATTGTACTCTATATGTGTAATAAGAATTGTAATGCATTCCACTGACATATATAAATTTAAAAAAATTAAAATAAAAATAAATAATATTGTCTAGTAATAACAAATTTCAAATTCTGAAAAACCTCTTTCCTGAGGGCCCAAACTGACATGCTCTGTCAATAATTAAGTCATCACTCAGTGTAGCATATATAAACACAGACTTCCCCTTGGCCATTGGCTTATTTTCCATCAGGAAAGTTGGTCCACCAGATGCATGATTTCATTACTGAATAAAGGCTGTGCTGATCCATGAAGCTTGCACCCAGCTCAGTCATTTTGTGCTAACACTCCTAATCTAACCAGCTTTTGAGCCCTTGAACCATAATTAAGAGATTTTTTTTCTCCAACGTGAAACATGAATTACAAATTCACAGGTCAGTCCCAAAACTCTAGTTATTCTAAACTCAGGATTCAGTCTTCTAGGATAACATATTCTTTCTTTCTTTCTTTTTTTTTTTTTTGGTACTGGGGATTAAACTCTTGGGGATGCCTAACTACTTATCCACATCACAAGCTCTTTTTAATTCTTTTCATATTGAGATAGGGTCTCATTAATTTGCATAGGGCCTTACCAAATTGCTAAGGCTGGCCTTAAACTTGTGATCCTCCTGCCTCAGCCTCCCCTCCAGACTTGCTGGGATTTCAGGCATGTGCCACCATGCCTAGAAGGGTGGGGTTCACCTATAATTCCAGCAATTTGGGATAACATACCTTGTATGGTAAGAAGCCACACTGAATTTTATTCTTCTACAACTTATCTACAACTTCAAACTCCTTCCTTCTAGAACTAAAATCTGTACTTTTTCCTCCATATATGTCCATGAAATTATCTAAAAGTTAATTCATTCTCCAGGTAACTAGGAGGCTTAGTTCAAGCCTTCATATTAATTTGTTGGAATGTTTTATTTATTTTTAATGGATAGAAAAATTGTTTATATTTATCATGTACACCATGACATTTTGAAATATGTATAGATTGTGGAATGGCTAAATCTAGCTAATTAACATATCGATGACCTCACATACTTATTGTTTTTTGTGGTAATCTGCTCTCAGCAATTTTCAAGCACATACACTATATTGTTAATGGCCATAGTCACCACATTGTACAATAGATCTCTTGAACTTATTCCTCCTATCTGAAATTTTGTATTCTTTTACCAATATTTCTCCAAATCATGCCACCCTTTGTCTCACTCCCAGGTAATCACCATTCTCTCTATTGCTATAATCTTGACTTTTTACATTCTGTGTTTATCATGCAGTATTCATCTTCCTGAGTCTGGCTTAATTCACTTAATATAATGTCCTCCAAGCTCATCCAAGCTGTCATAATGACAGAATTTCCTTCTCTTTTAAGGTGAAACAATATTCCTTTGTGTATATATTCCATTTTTCTTTATCCATTCAAATATTGAGTTCATGGATTGATTTCATATCTTGACTGTTGTGAACCATGTTGCAATGAACATGGGGGTGCTGCTATCTCTTCAACATACTGATTTCATTTCCTTCAGATATATATACCCAATAATGAGATTATTAGGTCATATCGTAGTTCTGTCTTTTTTTCAGGAACCTCCATAGTGTCTTCCACAATGATTATACTAATTTGTATTGCCTGTGTTGAAGATCTTCTAAAGATTTTCTAGATGATCATGGAAGAGCCATGGTTTTCCCTAATAAGTTTTTAGATCATTTATTTTCCAAGCCTGACTGATGGACAAGTCCCAGGACTCAGAGAGCCTAACCAAGTCATATTCTTACAGACATGTGCAAAACCTGAAAATACTTAGAATGAAACTTCCCTTATTGACCCACGAGATTCATAAACTTTTTAGTTTCAGAAGGCACCCAGGAATTTAGAGGGAGTCTAAACCCAATCAGCCTCTCAAGAAAGACTCACCATCAGGCATGAGCTCCACCACCAAGGTGGGGTAGGCGATATTGGTACAGCCAACTGGGGTGCCACAATATTTTTTACATTCTGAAGGAAGGACACAGGCAATTTTTTCTGGGGAGAGACAAAGAATCATATCAGCAAACACACATTGGGGGAATACTTCTAAAATTCACCTTCTTAAAACAAGGTGTCAAATATAACATTTCTGCCCAGGGCCCTGAAATGGTTCCACATGAGTATAGATTGCAGTGAGCATCTCCATCCCATGCCCCTACACATTTTGTCCTGATACACCCCCAACCTCTGACTAGGGAGGAAGGATGGCTCCTAAATAGAGGAAGATGGGGAAAAAAGATATGCTTAAGGTGAGATGGTGGGGAACACTTTCTTTAGACATTAGCTAACTACTCTTCAGCTCAACAGTGATAATTACCATGTTTTCTCCTGAAAAAGCACAGTGGTCTGTGGTTCCTAACCACAAAGATATGCATAAGTTATGCAAATTCTAGACCATGTTATATAAGGCACATGAGCACCTGCAGAGTTTTGTCCTCCAGATTTATTTTAAGCAGCTCTTAGAAGTAGAGTCACATGTCTAAATAACAGGAGATTTCCTCCGTGACAGGATTGTTGGATACCACCTCCGAGATATGGGAAATCTGAGATTAAAAAGTAAATAGCCTCACAGGGAAACGAACATGGTCTAGAGTCTTAGAGAGAATTCTAGAAATGTGTATAGGATTCAGATCAACAAATATTTGTTCAACACTTGCTACAAGAATATCTCATTTAGTGCTGCCCTATATTCAACCATAGCATATTTGTAAACAAGTATGTATAACATACATTAGAATATAAACCATTCAGTTAGTTATACAGTCTTCCCTCAGTGTCCTTGGAGGGAATTGGTTCCAGGACACTACCGGACACCCAGTGGATACAAAACTCTGCAGGTGCTCAACTAACTTGTATAATATAGAATTTATAGTATTCTATATTATATATAGTATAGAATTTGCATAACATATGTATATATTTCTGCATACTTTAAATCATCTCTAGATTATTTATAATACCTAATATAATATAAATGCTATGTAAACATTTGTTGTACCATGTTGAACAATAACAAGGCAAAAAAGTCTATACATGCTCAGTATAGATAAAATTTTTTCTGTATATTTTCGATCCATCCATAGTTGGTTGAAAACATGGACATGCAAATCATGAATATAAAAGACCGACTGAATTTTTTTTTTTCATGACAGACAAGCCTGGGGTGGGTGTAGGAGCTATAATTGAACACATATTATTAAATGGAAGAGGTAAATTGGATGCATATTGTGACTTTAGAAGATTTGAAAAATAAAATGAGAAAACAATTGCCAGTGTAAGAAAATCCAGGGAAGACAACCCCAAACGTCTTTGCCCTCAAGTTGCTCATTGTTGATCAGAGGGGAAAATGATGCTTGGGAATCATGGCAAGAAGAGGGCAGACTACACGCAGCAGGAAGTTAGGGATTTTAGAAGTGATCCAGAGGTAGAGAAATGAGTATGGTCTGTGAGTCTACCAGAAGGTATTACCTGTGTAGAGAATGCGACTGATCATCCCTGGCATCACCATGAGGAACATGGGCAGCAGCTTCATGTACCCACACAGGGTACAACCAGCCTTCACATGAGACATATTCTTGGCTGAGAGGCAGCGCTGCACAATCACCTGCCATGGAAAGCCCAGTGAGAGAGGGGTGCAGCCCTGAGATCCCATGATATCCGACAGGTAGGTTCCCCATCCTGAGTCCTTGGCCTAAGACTCAAGACCATGTGAGGCCTCCCCTATGTTTCCCAGCCCCACAAGCCACAGGTAGGCAGGAATCTCTGCAGTGCCCTGGGGATATTTTATTTACCCTGCCTATCCAGCTTGAGTACCTGATCTGTGCACCAGTACCAGAAGGCGAGGATGGCCAGCCCAAAGATGAGCCCAGGCCATGGGAGGTCTCCCTTCAGGGGATCTCGGAAGATGTGGAAGGAGTCTTCCCTTGGGGTGTAGCATTCTTCCTTGATGGTGGTGTTTCCATCAGAAATTAAGGTTGGAATGGCTTTCATATACTTTTCCATGAAGGCTTCATACCCTCCCACTTCACTGAAAGCTGGAAAACATTGGAACAAAAACAGTCTGAAATTTCCAACTCTTCATAGAGATTTCATCTCTGGGGCCTGAGAATTTGAGAGGACACCACCACCAGAGACAGCCCTTACTGTGTGGTCTTGGGCAAGTTATTTTCCCATTCTGTGCGTCAGCTTTCTCAACTGTAGAATGGAATTACTAACCCTGCCCAGCCCCCTTGGGGGCTACTATGAGGATCCAAAGCAAAAACTGTGAGAGTGTTCTAAACACAAACTTCTTTACAAAATGGAAGGTATCTCAGTGATTTAAAGGAAGTTCTTTGTATGGAATCACATGCAAAGACTTCTTTCCTCACTCCCTATTGTCAGCCATGGTCTTTGGAACTCAAATCACAGGCTTAGAGACCCTCAGTGACCAGTAAGAACCTGGACAGAAACCTACCACCTCTGGTCCTAGCAGTGGAATTTGATAACCAAGAAGATGAAGAATCTGGAACCCTGCTACCTCTCAGGTATGGGCCCTTGACAAGTCATTTCTTGTTGACCCACAGGGCTTACTAGGGAGCTTTCATACCAAATGAAAGTTCTTGGAAAACTGAACACTACGGAGAACATAAGAAACCTTCCAGGACAGATAGAAGTTCTTGTGCACCTAAAAATGAAGTGCATTTTACATCCTCTCTTAACAACTATCCCTAGACATAGCTTTTCAATGTTGTCTTTTTTTCTGTCTGTTTTTTATTTTTTTCTCATTTGTTATATATGACAGCAGAATGCATTACAATTCATATTACACATACAGAGCACAATTTTTCATATCTCTGGTTTTATACAAAGTATATTCACACCATTCGTGTCTTCATACATGTACTTTGGATAATGATGTCCATCTCATTCCATCATGATTTCTAACCTCATGCCCCTTCGCTTTCCCTCCCACCCCTTTGCCCTATCTAGACTTTGTGTATTCCTCCCATGCTCCCCCTCTCTACCCCACTATGAATCAGCCTCCTTATATCAGAGAAAACATTTGGCATTTGGTTTTGGGGGATTGGCTAACTTCACTTAGCATTATCTTCTCCAACTCCATCCATTTACCTGCAGATTCCATAATTTTATTCTCTTTCCTTCTTGAGTAATATTTAATTGTGTATATATACTACTTTTTTAATCCATTCATCTACTGAAGGACATCTAGGTTGGTTCCACAATTTAGCAATTGTGAATTGTGCTGCTATAAATATTGATGTGGCTGTGTCCCTGAAATATGCTAGACCGAGGAGAGGAATAGATGGGTCAAATGGTGGTTCCATTCCCAGTTTTCCAAGGAATCTCCATACTGCTTTCTATATTGGCTGCACCAATTTGCAGTGCCACCAGCAATGTATGAATGTGCCTTTTTCCCCACATCCTCGCCAACACTTATTGTTTGTCTTCGTAATAGCTGCCATTCTGACTGGAGTGAGATGAAATCTTAGTTTTGATTTGCATTTCTCTAATTGCTAGAGATGATGAACATTTTTTTTCATATATTTGTTGATTGATTGTACATCATATTCTTAGAAGTGTCTGTTCAGAGCCTTTGCTGATTTATTGATTGGGTTATTTGTTTTTTTGGTATTTAGCTTTCTGAGTTCTTTACATACCCTAGTGATTAGTGCTCTATCTGATGTGTGAGAGGTAAAGATTTGCTCCCAAAATGTAGGCTCTCTATTCACCTCACAGATTGTTTCTTTTTCTGAGAAGAAACTTTAGTTTCAATCCATCCCATTTATTGATTCTTGATTTTAATTCTTATACTATAGGAGTCTTATTAAGAAAGTTGGAGCCTAAACCTACGTGATGGAGATTAGGGCCTACTTTTTCTTCTATTAGATGCAGAGTCTCTGGTTGTATTCCTAGGTTATTGATCCACTTTGAATTGAGTTTTGTACATGGTGAGAGATAGGGGTTTAATTTCATTTTGCTGCATATGGATTTCCAGTTTTCCTAAGAAGAGTGAAGCAGGTGGCATCAACTATACCAGACCTTAAACTATACTACAGCGCAAGAGTATCAAAAACATCATGGTATTGGCAACAAAATAGACCAGTAGACCAATGGTACAGAATAGAGGACACAGAGACTAACCCACAAAATAACAATTATTTTATATTAGACAAAGGTGCCAAAAACATACAGTGGAGAAAAGATAGACTCTCCAATGTTGTCTTTAGGATTTTCTAGGCAAGTAAAACTTCAAGAAATGAGGGGGTGGGAGGCAACATTAAGTGGCCAATTTAATTTTTTTCAAAGAAGGACATTGAAAGGAAAATTATGACATACTGTCAATAACTCATGAGTGTGGACATTTAACTTCAAAATGTAAGGATATATTTAGCTTTAATGGTTATTGAGCCTCATCTATCACCTTTTTCCCCCTCAATTTCTCCACAGACAGAGAGGCCCACACTGGGGTCAACTGACTGAAGCTATCAAGGGAGAACAGGAGCCCCAACCTGAGTCCTCCCAAGATGAGGAAGCTGCCTCTGCCCCCAGGGTAATGGCCAAAGTGGGTTGGACCACTGCCCTTCAATGTACACAGACTGCCCAAGTTCACAGCCTGGCAGGAAGCAAGGAGAGAAGCCAAACTTTCTTTGCCTGGCTCTGTACATCTTCCCCCACCCCCTCCTCAGCCTGCCCTTCCTCCACTTACCAAACCCAGTCAGGATAAAAGACCCCACCAGCATAATTGCTGTCTGCAAGGTGTCCGTGTAGATCACAGCTGCCAGGCCCCCTAAGCAGGCAAGAAGACAACATAGGTGACCTCATGTGGAAGACTGCCTCCTATTACCCATCCCAACCTCTACTTCTTGTACACAAATCTGAGAAACCTCCCCATCCCCGGTCACCAACCTGCCTTTCCTCCCCACCCTTTACAGTATTCTGCTATTTAAAAGTGTGTTCTCAACCTCCGCTTTTCACAGAAATATTCTCAAGGCCTTAGGGAAAGGAGAATGTTTCTGAAGAATCTGATTTGACCATGTTAAGCCAAGGGATGGGTCAAAGGAGATGGCTGCTCTATAGTAAGAGAAAGTAGCTTCCAAATGAAGGCAAAGAAGAGCAAAGAGCTGACTAGGGAGATGCCTGGGAACATTACCAAATTGCCACATTTCAGAGGGCCACTTCTATGTCCATTCACTGTTTCTCAGACTATCTGAGTAACTTTAGTCCTCAAAGATATGGAGCCCCAATTCAGCTGTAAGTTTCATTGCTGGTCTTGACTTTCCCAAACTAGGCAAAGTGACACCTCTGCATCCCTTTCTCCCTCCTACAGTAGCTCCCAGTCCCCATGATATCAAATCCAAGGCCTCTGTACCTCATTTGAATTATCAAGCCTATGGCCCACACTCGCTCCCATTACTCCTCAGTGGCCACTCTCCTTCAGCCAAGTGCATCCTCTTGCTTACCTTGCCTCCACCTCATGGCCTACCATTCCTACCTCCATTCTCAGTTCTCACATTCTTGCACCTGAAACTCCTCTGATCTTCCCAATTTAGTCACATTGTTTCTACAGTCTGCAGGGTCAAGCTCTCCCTGAGGTCCTGGAAGAAGTTGCCCTATCCTTGCCACTACTGGAGATTTCTGAGACCACTCAGGTAACTACTAGTAGATACCCAGAAAATGCCCATTCTCAAACTGTTTCCTGGGAAATGCCTAATACTGGGCTGAACTTGAGATGCTGGTTCACTTGAACAGACTCACCTGTGATTGTGTAAAGCCCAGTGATTGCTAATAAGAGAAAAATGGCCAGGTATATATCCAGGCCCAAAGCCAGATTGATGAATATGGCTCCAGAGAAGATGTCTGCCTGGAAGAAAAGGAGAGGCAGGTTAGAAGTGGCAGAAGCCTGTTAGCCACAGGGTGCATACTGTATTCTCAAGCTTTATTCAGGAGGATAATTTGTATCCAGAAAAAGGATTTCATGGTTAAAAAGGTGGAAAATGCTAAATTTAAAATTTAAGGCATTTTTTTTGCCACACACCTTCTCTGAACCTTTAGTATACGTCATTTTCTGTGAATCCATAGAAGGGAAACATGAGCACAGTATACAACTTCACCAACTTATTTAACTTTTGCCAAGGAGTAACTATTAACTATTGATGTTCCTCCTAACTCACCTGTAGACTGCTGCTCTTGGCTATTATCCATAATTTACACCTCAATGTACACAAGTCTGTCAGATCTATTCCCAAACACAAGTTTTTGTGCCAAAGAATCCATGAGTGGGGATCCCAACCCCAACTGAAGAATGGAGAGAACTTTAGAAAGATTATAATTTCATCTTCCTGACCCAGAAGGAGTTCATCTTGACTCAAACTTTCAGGGAAATTGTTCCATTTATTTCTCCTGAACTCAATATATTCTTGGTGAAGTTCTTCCATGACCTCTTTCTCCTTGTGTCTCTCAGCCCTCTCATAATTAGCCTTCTACCTGGCTGGATGATGTAGTTGCTAATATACAACAGCAGAGGGCGTAAGGATCAACAAAAATCAATTTTCATGTCATCTCCAAAATACTGCACTACCAGGAAAGATTAATATTAAGGAATGATCATGGTGAATCTTTTCAAACATTTAGACAAAGAATAAGGTTGTCTTCCCCTAGATGGAGATGACTGAGATGTTTTATTGCACAGAATCATTTCAGGGCATGCAAAAATTGCCGAGCCAGAGTCCTGGGGAACAGGTCAATAGAGTTGGACTCACCCTCTCTCAGTCTCATCTCCTCTTTCCCCCTCTACTGCAGCTCCTCAGTTCTCCCTAGTGGCTGAGATGCCCCACAACACCCTCCTGTCCTGCTGCTAGATTTGAATGTGTCCTCCAAATGTTCACTTGTTGAAAACTTAACCCCCAAATCCTTATGTTGATGATATTTAAAGATGGGACATTTGAGAGGTAATTAGGATTAGAAAACACCACAAGGACAGGAGCTCCATAATAGTGTTGACTTTATAAGGACAAGAAGAGAGACTGTACTTTCCAGGCTCCTTATCACCCTGTGATCCACATGTTAGGAACAGCAAGGAAGCCCTCACCAGATGCCAGTGCTGTGCCCTTGAACTTCCCAGTTTCCAAAACTATAAGAAATTGATCTTTATAAATTATGCAATCTCAGGTATCCTGTTATAGTAACTTAAAACATACTAAGACACCCTCCCAATGGAATCTCCTCACTACTGTCTCTCTTATTTGCCTCTATTATTTGGTATAATGTAATTTCATACTTATGTGCTAATGTTTGAGCCTGGGAGAATGAATCAACCCCCCACTCCCAAGATGGGCTTCTGAGGAACCCATGACTTAGTTCCAGTCATCCAGATCTTCCCTGAAGATTCTCATTCAAGAGACTTAATGCTATCATCATTCTTGGTGAAGGAGGATAGGCAGAGCTAGGAGGTGGGAAGAGAGAGGATGATTTAGAAATTCACCCTCTCACTGGAAGCTGGTGGTCAGAGGACCTGAGTTTTAGGTACATCACTGAGTAACCCTAGGCAAAACATTTTGCTTCTCTACTTCTCAGTGCCTTTAAAGCAGGAAGTCTTGCCTCCAGATGGTTGTCTCAGTGGCTGGAAATGGGAAAGGACTGCAGCCAAGGAAAACATTCCCCAACAAGATCCTGGATGGATGCATCCTGCCCTCTGTAGCAGCCCGAGAGGAGGAAAGAACCCCTGCTCTACTCTTTGCTTGCTAAATGTAAATAACCACTTTTTTCTGATTGCACATTTGAAATTGTGATGAATACTCATAATACCAGTTACTCCCATCCCATGCCTCCAAACAGTTACATGAAATTATGTAAATTAAAGGGGTCCTATTCAAGATTACAGCAGGATGCTGTCAAATTCACACACTTTTGATTTGGTGGATTAGCTAACACAAATGAGCTATAAAAAGAGGCTGCTACTATTGCCTTAGAAATGCCCACAATTGGCTTATTTTCCATGGAAGGTAATTTTTAGTGCTTTAGGATAATATATCATTGTAGACTGTGATTCTCTCATTAATATTTGCCTTACCATCATTAGTCTCAGACAAGTATTACACAACCCCAAGATAATTCTATAAATGAAGTTTATAAAGACTTCTTGAAGTGTTGAACTCATAGAAATATTGTTCTATGACATTCTATTTCCATCTAGTAAAGATAAAGAATTCTAAGAAATCTTCCCTGGTGAATAAATTCTTTCTCCCATGAGTCATTCCCAACTCCAAAATAGTTTCTGCCCTTGAAACCCCAAATATCAGCAGAAACACCTGGGGTTATGATAGCTGAGTTTATGAAAGTGACTGTATTTGAGTGAACTCACTTTAGCCTGGGGTTTCTGGCATTAGTCTTTGGGTGCCTCTTGATGCCCTAATTTCATGCTTCACTACTAGGTTCCCCCCCCCCTACTTTTCCAGAGAATTTTATAGTTTACTAAGATGCCCATGTTATTTTGATCCTCAAAACAACATTGAAAAGAGGGAATCACTTTTCTGTGATATTTTCTGTAAAGTCATTTTAACCATTTTTTTAAAGTGACTTTTAAAATAAAATAAAATTTTAAATAAAATAATGTGTGTGATTTTAAAACAAACAGCATGGGAAGTTATATATTGAAAAGTAAAATATTAAATGCTGAAAAATCATCACTCTGCCCAAAGGTGAACACTGTTGAGAGCTTTTTGTCTACCAGTTATTTTTAAATAGTTTGCTGAAATTTAGATATTAACAGTTATGTTCTCCATACCCTAAATGTAATAATGCTGAAGTCAAAAATTGAAAAATGTTTAAAATTTTTGCTAAGATCAAGGGGAAATATAACAAAATGGTGTGAGTATTTTTTTTGTACATGTAGGAGGAATTTGCTGGAGATAAAACCCTTTGCACTAGCTAACAAGTGCTAAATCTGAGCTAAATCCCAGGCAGTGTGCACATTCTGATTGGATCTTTATAATAAAAGAATACACAAAATATAGAAAATATTGAAATATGAAAATGAAATGTTTGTATTATTATATGATTGTGGGTGTTTTCCCACCCTAAGATTTTCTTAAATAACTTGCAGTTTCAAAAGTGGAACAGAAATTTTTAAAATATTCTTTAAGGATAAATGGGTGTGGGGGGGGGGTGTAGTAAAAATATAAAAATAAAGATGGTAAGAATACATATGAAGTTCAAGTTAAGGTTTACCTTTTAGGAAGGAGGGGACTGGGATCAAGAGAAAGATCAGAGAAAAGGATACATATAAGTTATGTTTTATTTCTTTTTTAAAATGATAAATTGTGTCAGGTGTGTTGGCACACACCTGTAATCTCAGTGACTCAGGAGAATTTCAAATTCAAAGACAGTTTCAGCAACTTAATGAGACTTTGTCTCAAAATGAAAAGAAGAGCTAAGAGCAGTGGAGAAGATGTAGCTCAGTGGTAAAGCTCCCTTCCATTCAATCCCCAGTACCACAATAAATTAATAATATATAGTTAGATCTATAAAATTTGAGTGGATAGATATTAAGGCGTTTGCGATATGATTATTCTTTTGCTTTTCTGTATGTTTTAAATATTTCATTAAATTATTTTTATTTAGAAAAGCAAAGGACTGCATAGGAAATACACCATAATAGTGGTATGGTAATAGCCCTGAGAACAATGGTGATATAGCCCCAGGAAATACAAACAAGGACATTCACTTATCATGTGTAATTCATAAAACTGAGGCTTTATCTCAAGTTATCATGCATATTTGAATAATACATAGCTTTGATATAAAAGGAGTATTCTATAATCCTCTGAGGTAATTTGTTTCACATGTAATCATCCCAGATTGCTCCTTTCCTACACTACTGTAAAATGCCTTAAGAAAAAGATAGAGAAAAGAGAAAAAAGAAAGGAAAGAAGGAAAAAAGGAAGGAAGCAAGCAAAGAAAAAAAGAAGAAGAAAAAATAAAAAAGGGAGAGAGAGTTGGAAATTTCCGTGATGTTGCTAAAGAAAATCAACTCAAAGTGAAATAGAAAGTATGGTCCTCTAGGTTAAGGGATTGGCAATTTTTTCCCTGTAAAGAGTCAGGTATGAAATGTTTTAAGCTTTTCAAGCCATATCATTATTCCAGCTCTGCAGGTGAAACATGATAGCATCATAGACAACATAAACAAATGGGCTTTTCTGTGTTCCAAGAAAACGTTATTTACACGAGCAAATAGTAGGTTGATTTCTCCCAAGGGCTTTGAAAGTTTAGCTGATCAGTTTCCATGGGACTCTTAGGGAACAATAAAAATTCAGACCCTAACTAGAAAATATTTGGGAGTAACTGAGTCTGATATTGGTGAGCCTTCTGTAGGTTGTTTGGCTTCAGTGAGGATGTTTTTAAGATGCTGTGATTTGTCATGTGTGTTTGCTGTCCATTCTGGTTCTAAGATATATCTGAGCACCCAATAAATCCTACCTGGCAATGAGGTTTCAGATGGAGAAGCATCATTACTCAAATTTCTCTTTCTATCTGTGAATGTGAACAGCCAAGGTAATAAGCATTCAAACCTTAAGCAAAAGCCAAAGCTTTTATTTTTACCCTAGGATCCAAAATGGACAGCAGAGTTGCAGTAAAAGTTCATTGCAGTCATGATCTGTGATAATAACTTAGGGAAATACAAACAAGGACATTCAGTTATCACATGTAATTCATAAAATCTGAGGCTTTATCTCAAGTGACTGCACATATTTGAATAAGATGCACCATGCCAAGAAACCTCCAGAACAAAATGCTTCTCAGAGCTTGATAAGGAAGGTGCTCAAAGGAACCAATAAAATGCAGAAGTTCATAAAAAGACAATCAGTTCAGGGTCTCTGAGTTGGAAAGAATATGACCTCAAGATGGCAGCCATAGCAAAGGCTCCACCACTACCCACACACCTGCAATATGCTTTGCTGTCTACCACCAATTCTATACATATTGAATTTCTGTGTCTTCTCAAAACCTTCCTGGCAAGTCTCTAGCTGTTCTTGGTTTGTATATGGATCCCACAAGGCCTTCTCTCCTCTCTTGTCATCTATCACAAACCATCTGTACACACACACACAAACACAAATACACAAATTAGTTAATCTTTGTGTGTAATACAAACTATACCTACTACTAGTATACTCAGTTACTTTATTAACTAATAGTTCTTTTCTTTTATCCATGATCCCTGCACTCCTGTGTACTGGGCTGCTAGCAGGTACAATTGACATCAATGTATTTCTTTTGTTTTCATGTCTGAATTCTGTGTATGTATTTCTCTATAAAATTTCAAATTCTACGCCCCATGGTAAACCTGAAGCCAGCCAAATGTACAGCCAAAGCCTTGTCTCTCTGCACACACCTCCCTCCTTCAGGACCTCCACACACCCAGCGTACAATTGATGTTTTCTTGTCACAGTCCTTTCAGATCCTTCTCTCACCAACTTGTTTATATTATGAGATTCATTTAACTGCTTCCCTTAATTTTTCATGCAGTCTTAAGTTTTAACCCTCTCTGTACTGGAGGAATGAAAGAAAGAAGACTCATAAGGTCAAAAGATTTAAATCAGTGTCAAGAAACCTGCTTTTCATCCTGGTTCTGCTCCTCTTTAACCCCCAAAAGTCCCTTTCCCTCCCTAAACCTCATTTGCCCATCTATAAAATGATAGCTTAAGACAAAGGACTAGCTGATCTATCCCATTTCATCATTTTCCACCTTCATTTTATGCAAGCACAGTGCGAAAGTGTGAAACCACAGACTTTGAGACTAGACAGACCCAGATTCCAATCCTGTCTTTGCCTTATGCTAGATGGGGAAAATTACCTAATTTCTCTGAGGCTTCATTTTCTCTTCTATGAAGTGAAAAGTATAAAAAAAGAAATCCCTACCAATGTGGTACACATATGAGAACAAGAGATAGTGGAAGTAAAGGCCCTACTGAAGACTAAATAAAAATACTGGCACTAAAAGCAGCTATCATCCTTCTTAAGCATTTGTCAAGGGATTATGTTTGGGCAACAGATGGAACAAATATGATGTTTGTTAGCGCTTCTAGTAGGGAGCACCAGGAATTATACAGAGAGGCATCAGACAATGCCATGCCCTGATTCAAAAGCAAAATTTCGAAAAAAACTGATGCTAGGAAACATTCCTCATCAAGATCTGAGCAGAAAGAGGATGCCCCTCACCTACCTGGGGACTCTCAATCCAAGGAGGTTTAATCAGTAACCTGAAAAATAGGTGGGGTGACAGGGAAGGCAGGAAGAGAGGTTGGCCATTTATTTATATGACTACCCCTATACCAGCTCCAAGGGCAAAGAGTGCCCTTTCCATGGCAACAGCAGTCAACAGACTTTCACCAGCTTGAACTGTGGACTTGGAGAATGTTTGCCTCTGAAAAGGGGAAACCCATTACCCTTCTCTATGTGCTCAAGAGACTGGTACCACTTCACAAGCTGGACTGAGGGGCAATTCCATCACCAGCTTCCTGCTACTTTTAGAGTGACCTTTCCACCCTCCTGCTTATCTGCTTTTTTCTCATCTTAGATTAGTGCCCTCCCCTCCCTTATGAAGCTAGGGTCTGATGTCTTCAGCCCTACCAGCACTTTCCAGTCTAGGCCAGTCTGACATCCAGTGCAATAACACTGAAAAGGCCAGAGTTTTCATCTTGTAGCTAAAAACTAACCCTGAAGGAGAAGAGGAGAATGAAAAGGAGGGAGAATCCTCCTATTAGTGGAGAAAGCACAAAAGCACTAGTCAGAAGGCTGGCACAGGTCAAGGATAGTAGGAGAGCAGTCAGAAAGGAGGGAGAATGATTTCTGGTTGTCAGTCCCAACTCCTGAGACAAAACTCTATCAGCTTTATCAATGAGAGCATGTTCAAAGCCTTTCATGGAAAACAACCGTCTCTTCAACAAATGGTGCTGGGAGAACTGGATATTCACGGGCAACAGGATGGAGTTGGATGCCTATCTCACACCAAACACAACAATTAACTCCATAGAGATGAAACCTGAAGGTAAAAGCTAAAGCTATGAAACTCAGTAGAAAACGTGTAGACAAATCTCCAAAACCTTGGATTTGGCAATGGAATCTTAGAAATTATACCAAAAGGATTAAAAAAGGAAAATAGATAAATTGATCTTCACCAAGATTTAAAACATTTGTGCATCAAAGGATATTATTAATAATGTGAAAAACAACCTACAGAATAAGGGAACACATTTTCAAGTTACATATCTGATAAGGATCCAGGATATACAAGGATGTTTTTACAACTGAACAACAAAAAGGCAGGAAAAAATCTAAATTTTTAAACAAATGTACATGTAGGCCAGGACAGGAGGGTAATAATACAGAAAGCAAAAATAATTCTGGTAGATTTTCTTTAAAGAAAGAATAACCAAACACAACCTCATTTGGATTCTGAGTCAAACTAACTAATTAAGAGAGTGTTTTTGAGATAATCAGGAAATTTTGGTTATGGAATAGCTATTAAACAACCTAAATTTTGAAATCATTATAATTTTAGGTAGACATTATTATAGCACAATAGTTATGAATTTAGGAAGCCAAAGGTACATCCTGAAGAATTTACAGAGAAATGACATGATCTCTAGGATCTGTTGTAAAATATTGCTGAAAAAATGGCTAAATATTGATAATTATTAAAGCCAAATGATTAATACTAGATATATGAGTACTCATATTCTACCTCTGTTTATGTATGTTGCAAATGTTACTTAATTATGTTGTTGTCTCAGCTTTAAGTAATCAGAAAAATGAAAGCACTGGCAACTGTTTTTTTTTTTTTTCCCCAATGCCCTGCTTAGCTACAGTAAAGACTCACTTCAAATCCAACCCACCTCAGATATTAGCAAGGGCAGATCTTTTGCAAAATGCTGAGATTGGTTTAATCTCTCCTTTGGTGCTGGATGGGGTAGGATAAGAAAAAGGAGAAAAACTAAATAGTACTCTATTGTGTGTACGTATACCACATTTTCTGTACCCATTCATTTGTTGATGGGTACTTAGGTTGATTCCATGTCTTGACTATATGAATCATGTTGCAATTAACATGGGAGTTTGTTTTTTTTGTTTTGTTTTGTTTTTTGACATATTCAAAAATTCAAATTTGTACCAAACACGTTGACTAGGCTGGATGTGACCTTCATCATGCTCTTCACCTAGACAATGCCAAAGATTATAGCTGTAAGTCTGCTAAATGTTCTCCCAGTTCCTTCCTGCAAATTCTAATCACATTCTGATATTACTTCCTCTGCCCTGAATTTTTTTGGCATATTAATTTCATTTCCTTTGAATATATACCTACAAATGAGATTGCTGGATCATATGGTATATCCTAATTCCTTAACTCCCTCTTAATTTTCTATTAAGAACAGCTTTCACTGAAAATTCGTAAACCAGTTATGTTCCCAACCTGTGCCACAGTGGGGAACAAGGAGTTCCACTAAACTTCACTGGCTCTTTGATGCATGAAACAGGACTTTACCCTGAGCAGCAAGAAAGCTTATGGAACCAAGTTCATAGAGACACATAGAGCTGCCTCTTGGTGAATGACAGTGGGCAGCTTCTGAGACAGCCAGGACCCAGTCCACCGTGCAGCATACTCACCGAGATCTTAGTGAATATATAGAGCAGCAGGGACAGAACAGAAAGGTAAATCTGGATCCGCTTGCCTCCAAACCTCTTCCGCAGGTACTCTGGCATTGTCACCACCTGCATGGAATGCAAGAGAGGTCATCACCAGCTAGAGTGACCAGAGAGCCCAGAGAACACAGAAAAAATGAGAGCCATCTTGGTGTTAGAGTCATAATAGTATGGTCAAGGATTCATTATCCTTGTTGGCCTGGGAAATCTGCAAAGTGGCCAGGTGACCACAGACATTCAGCCATTTGCTCATTTCAATCTCACCTGCCCTACCACTATAGGAGTAGTTAGGCATTATCCCAGAACATAGAAAGTGACAAATAAACACCTGTTTTTGAATGAATACATAACTGGACTTAACTAAGGAAGCAGATCATTGTCCTGAAGAGGAGGGCAAATGTATATATAGATATAGACATATAGAGAGGGATATATTCCTATATAGAGCACCTACTGAAAAACAAGACATCATAACATGGATGGCATCTTGCCAGTGTACCAAACTAGTCAACTAGATTGGGTGTGAACTTCACTATGCTCTTCAGATAGGCAGTGCCAAGTATTGTAGCTGTAAGTCTGCCCAAATGTTCTCCCAGTTCCTTCCTGCAAATTCTAATCACACTTTCGATATTACTTTCTTTGACCCGAGCCTCTTGTCCTCTGGAACCAAACATATCACCATCAATCTGTGAGTCTATAGAAGATATAGCACCCTCCCTGTTTTTCCCACATTGCTTTTAGCTCCTAATATGTAAATTTACATATAGGAGGTGCTTATTATATCTCACTGAACAGGTATGTAAAATGTCTGAGAGACATAGTCAGGAGACCAAGAATGCATTTGATAGTTGAGTACTAGCTGCATGCTCAGCAAATAAGAACTACTGATGTACATAAATAAAGAGGAAAAAAAAACAGTTCTTTTTCTCAATCTGCTTCCTTTCTAGAGGCAGAATATTGACATAGTTGTACATCAAGAGCAAATGCATGGCCATGTAGTACAGGGACACACCCAGAGTGAGGGGACAGGATGTTTCAGAGGGGTTTGAATAGTGTGGGATTTCTTAGGAAACCTTCTCAGAGGGAAGAGTCATGAGTCTTGACAGAAAAGAGCCAGTGTCATTGTTCAGTGCCCCTAGGGAGCCAGAAACTATTTTACAACCTAGAACTAAAAGCAAACACAGGTTATCTTTGCCATTTATTCCACAAAGTCTCCTCTGTCATCCAGAAGGATCAAATTCACGTGTGTGTGTGTGTGTGTGTGTGTGTGTGTGTGTGTGTGTGTGTGTATCAGCAGGGAATGGAACAACAGAGTGGGTACTTACCCCAGCCTTTATGTAAATGGGAACAAATATCCAGCCCAGCACAACCACCAAAAACAGGGCCTGAAACCAAAAGAAGAGGTAGATTCAAATCAGGAGGAACCTTAACCCATCCCTACTTACCTGAAGGACCCCTCAGCTACTACAGAAAAATCACCCAGCACTTTCTTTTTTGGACTGAAGAACAACTCTTAGGTGGCCATTAGAGACTGTAGGATGCCTTAGTTGCCCAATTGGCCCAAAGAAACAGAAACTGGGCAACAGCAGAGGAATCCCAGGAAGCTACTGCTATCATCACAGCCCTGGGCCCCAGCCAGAGGAATGAGATCTCCTTTGACTCTTCCTTGTATTACACAGGGGTAAAATACCATTTAGAGAATAATAATAATAATAATAATAATAATAATAATAATAATATCTGGTGATAAGCATTTCCAAACTTCTAACATGGCTAGAAAGGTACTGGGGCCTCATCTTTTTAACACCAAAAGGAAAGAGAAAAAATACTCTCACCATCCTTCCAGTGTATCTCCCATGCTACTCTGGTGGAAGGAAAACAGAATGCCTGGGCTCCTAAAGCCATGCTCCTCCATCTGCATCCCAGGATGGCTCTGAGGAGTCCCTTAGTATTTGAAGCTCCTCTGGACATCAGTTGACCTGGCTAAGTGCTAAGGTTCTGCTATAGTTTGGGTATTGTTTAGCATGTCCCCTAAAGGTTCTGTATTAGAGGCTTAGTCCTCAGCATAGTGGGAGGTGGTGGAACACAGTATGAGGTGGAGCATAGTACGAGGTTCTTAGGTCACTGTGGGTGCTGCTCATGGAAGGGATTAAGGTAGTTCTGGAGTGACCCCTTGGTAGTTATAGAAAGTGCTATAAATGCCTGACTCTGGCCCCACCCATCTCTCTGTCTTCTTATTTTGGATGATATTACCTCTCACACACAATGCTGCTATTGTCTTCCACCAGGAGATGCCACAGTCAAGTGGGTCCCTCACAAGGACCTGCAACAGGCTACTTGGACTTTTGACTTTCAAAACCATGAGCTAAATAAACCTCATCATCATAAGCTTAGCTGACATCTGATATTTCATAATAGTAACTCAAAACAGACAGGTACAGGTTCTTTTCCACTTCTCCAACACAGTGGCACTGATGCTACTCACATTCCATTCAAAGGCTCCAATGGCGATCCCTGAAGCTGCTCCAGTCCCAGCTAGCCCCACGAAGTGGCCACTTCCAATGTTACTGGCAAAGAGAGAGGCTCCAATCTGGAAACACAAAGATAAAGTCAGGTGAAGACTCTATACATGAATGGGACATTCCGGGTAGGCCAAAGAAAGAAGAAACATGCCAGCCAAAAGAGGACAACTGAAACTTTGACTGTGCTAGAATTTGTTGATACTACAAGCTCCCAAGGCAGACGTGGGGACTTGGGAAATAGTGGAGATGAAAGGAAAGAATTGGCAAAGGAGCAGATGATCCCCATATCAGATCATCTGTAAGTCTTTTGTGAGCCTAATGTCCACTAGTGAAGATGATGGGAAGACATACATCATGCCAGGATCCTCTAAAAGTCCCCCGCATTCAGGGCCTGTACCATTCATGTCTGTGTTCTCAGCATGCCTGGGGGCTTCGAGCCTTGTCCAACATTGGCTTTCAGTAAATATAGATAATGTTCTTAAAAGGAATTATTTAAAAGAAGCCTCTGGGTCTTGGTCACCTTGTCAAAGAACAAGGGGCATGGAGCTGATAATTTCAGAGTGATTCCTACTAAACTATGTAATTTCATGTGGTGCCAAGTAGCAAAAGATAATATTAATAATAACACCAATTTTCTAAATCCATAAAGTATTTTTATTTTTAAAAAAGGGCACAGTGGTGCACACCTGCAATCCCAGCAGCTCAGGAGGCTGAGGCAGGAGGATCACAAGTTCAAAGCCAGCCTCAGCAATAGCGAAGTGCTAAGCAACTCAGTGAGACCCTGTCTCTAAATAGAATACAAAAAATAGGGCTGGGGATGTGGCGCAGTCATTGAGTGCCCCTGAGCTCAATCTTCGGTACTGAAAAAAGGTGGGGGGGTAGGTGCTGAGATTGTACAGAAAATGCACAAAACACTGCAAAGATATATATATCTAAAGACATAGATTAGATTTCAGATTGGAAGGACATATTTAAATACCAAAGAGTGGAAATCTAAAAGGAGAAAGGAGAATGTGACTGTGAATAGGAGTCACAGAAGAAAATACCAAATGAAATAGGAGGGATCTTTGCACTGACCAATCCTAATACTGTGCCACCAACTTAATTGCATCTGAGATCCAGAATAACTCCAGAGAGTTCTAGAGTCTTCCTATAAGCAGGAGCATAAGGAACAAAATCATTTGATAAGTACAAAATATGTACAGATGCTTTTCAACTTACAATGTGGTTATGTCCTAATAAAGCCATCCTAAATTGAAAATATTTTAAGTCCAAAATGCATTTATTTAATGAACCTGACCTGTTGAACATCGCAACTCAGTCTGGTATATTTTATTAAAAACTGTATTGAAAGTGAAAAACAGAATGGTTGTACTGGCACAGTTTCATACCACAATAAAGTTGAAAGCATTATTAAGTTAAGTGATCATAAGTTAGGGACCATCTGCATAATTATCCCCATCTTTGCTAAACAAATAGAAGGATATTTGTAGTTGTTTGTTTATTTTCCTTAAAAAGATCCAAATCTGGAAGAAAATATGTATTTCCCCAAAGAGAGATTACTCCAAGAAACTGTCCTAACTATACCAGCCCATTTCCCCAATATAAGGCAGATGGAACTCAGTGCCAAATGCTAAGTCATACGACAGGGATATCTCTGAAGGCCCAGGCAAAAGGAGGCCTTAGAATGATGAGGAGGAAACAATGGTGTAAATGCATTCATTCATTGGCCCAAACAATGTTAACTTAGCAGCTATTAAATGTGTCTAGTGCTATTCTAGACACTGGAGATTGAGCCACAAATAACATAGATGAAAATATTCACAAGAAGCATAGTAAATAAATAACACAGAAAGAAAGGTCGGAGAGTGGTTAAGTGCTGCAAAGAGAATAAAGTAGGGGGAGCATGACAGAGAGGTTAAGTGTCAGAGAAAGTCCCTTGGTGGAGGCAATCTTTAAATTGAGATCTAAAGGATACAAGCTACCTGTGCAGAGGTCAGGGAGAAATCATTCCAACAAAGCAAAAACCTCCAAGTGGGAGAGGCATGCATGGTTGAGAGGCATAAAGACCAGAGGAGAGTGGAGTAAGGTAGGCCAGGAAGAAGGTGGTGTGAGATGAGCCTGAATAGTCAGGAGGCGCTGGGTAATGGAGATGCTGGTAAGCCAGGACAGGAGAAGTGGATTTTATTTTAAGTAGATGGGAAGCCAGTAGAGGGTTTTAAGCAGAGGACTGACAAGATCTGGTTTGTTTGTAAGGATATCTCTAAATTATGTGTGGAGTATAGGGTTGGAGGGGTGAGGAGAAAACTGAGAAACCAGGTGTGAGGCTATCTCTACATCTAGGTAAGGATGGATGGTGGGTTTATCTAGGTTGGTAGGAGTGAGATAAAGTCAAGCAGAGAGGTTGGGGGTAGGTTTTACAAAGTCAACAGGCTTTATTGATGAATTTGATAAGAAAAAGAGTAACTCTATGATTTAGATTTGAATAACTGAGTAGACGCCATTCATTTAGAATGAGGAAGCTGGGAAAGCAGGTAGTTTAGAGATATCAGCCTGTGTCTATTCAAAGCTTGATGGGGATAAAAGTCTACTTTTAATAAAAAGAATGTTCCTAAAATGGCCCAAATCTAGAATAAAACATGTATCTCCCAAAATACTGTTTACTCTGAGGAACTGTCCTAACGATAACCGGTCCTGATGCATTATCTTTTCATTTATCATCAATCACTTGATAAATTATTAAGCCTAATGCCATACTATTATGGACAATTTAGAACTTAATTATCAGAATGATTAACTGGATTAGATTAATCTTAAATTCAAGAGGTCCTCTCTAATATCCCTCACTTGAAGGGAGATGTTGGACTTTAAGACATCTCAGGCTGTCCTGTCCCCACCCAACAATCGGAGTGAGATAAAATGTAGATAGGAGTGCTTTGGGTGCTAGAAGGTTTTGGGACAGGTTAGTTTCACTTCTGTCAGAGACACATCCTCAGTTTTTTCTGCTCTCCTTCCTTTGACCCCAGAGCTCACAATCATTTACCAAAATGCTGACTCTACCTTCATAATGTCATTGAATCTAGCACTATCTATATCACCCTTGGCCGCCTACCATTCCCCACAACCTGACTACAAAATATTCTTCCAGATGATCTCATGGATCTCCCTCCTATCTGTCACTTCACCCACCACCCACATGGACAGTTACCTACCGATGCAAAACTTCGATCATGTCACTTCACTCTTTGTTGTTGTTGTTAAATATACATGACGATAGAGTGTAGTTTGAAATGTTACAAATACATGGAGTATAACTTATTCTAATTGAATCCCATTCTCAGATTCTCCCAGACCCTACTTCTCCCATAGACCTGCCAAGCAGTCTTACTGACAGCTTCAGGCTTAAAGACATAGTCCTAGGTATTCAGCAGGATTTCAAGGCAAAGTTCCATCCAGTGCAAAAACAGCATGAACTTAAAAATTCCAGTTGGAATGCTTTCTTTAACCCTTACTATCTGGGTGCATATAAGATCTGTGAGCCTTCCATCTTCTCTCATGACTGGCTGTACAAGAGTCAAATGAGATGCTGAATCAGTAATGACTGGCACTCAGCTGGTTCTAAACAGCTGTCCCTTCTCTCCTTTGTTCTCCCACAAGGACAATAATGTCACCCTAAAGGATATTCACAAGACCTACATTGGACACCATTAGGGACTGTCCTGTGTCCTTCCCACAAAATTTATGTGTTGAATCCTTAGACCCCAATATGACTATATCTGGAGATAGGCACATAGTGGATATAATAAGATTAAAGGAAGTCATAGGGTAGGGCCTTATGATATTATAGGACTGGTGTGCTTACAAGAACAGGAAAAGATACCAGGAATCTCTTTCCTTGCACACAGGGGGAAAAAGGCCATGAGAATACAGCAAGAAAGCAGCTGGAAAGTCAGAACGAGAGGATTTGCCAGAAAACAACCCTGAAAGTTCCTTGAAGAGTTAGCCCTCAGAGTGTTAGAAAACAAATTTCTGTGGTTTAAGCCTTCCAGCCTGTGATATTTTGTTATGGTTGCCTGAGAAGCCTAAGATAGACACCATTGCTTTATCACCTATGCGCCTCTGCCAGATTGTCATACTGTTCCTCTGCTCACAGGAGCTTATTAATGATAATTTATCACAATGATTTCCTAAACACTATCTCTCCACTCCACCCATGTTCATGCCCATTTGGGAATCACACCCCCTCTAGAGAGTAACCCAATGACATGAATCATGTTCTCTGCAATTTCCTCCGCCATCCCTTCTGAATTTGGGATTTAGACTTTATCTAAAATTTCTCCAGCTTGACCTTGCTTCTGACTAGCAAACCCTCTTCATCCCCTGATGAGGTGAGAAAGGCTGTTATAAACATTTACACAGTTTTACTGCCACTGTGCTTAAGGATCTGTGTCAGACCAAACCCAGCAGGTTTGATGGGATGGTAATTGGGAAAATAACATAATGTCATACCACAAAAGGCAAAAAGACTATGTGGTTCCTTTTGCCTTTAGGCAATTCATGATCACATTTGACTGCCTATATTTCCTGTCCAACAAGGTTGGCAAAAAAGAAGATAGAGAAATTAGAGAATCTCCCAGAATTTGATGGATCCATGCATATCAGCTTGATTCCCTCTTGCAACACCTTCCAAGTGATGGTCAGCTGCATACACATCTCTAACAAGAACTCCCCACCTTTTCAGGCAGCTGAATCTATGGTAGACCATTTAATTATTTTATTAAGACTCTCTTTACCTTGACCTGAAACTTACCCATGTCCTACTTCCACCCCAGTGATACAGAACAAGACAAATCTCTCTTCCACAAGCTCTTACTACATCTAAAGACAGAGGTAATACACTCCCCTCTTATTCTCCAATCCAAGCTTCCTCTTTCTGTATGTCTGCTTCTCCTTATCCATGGACTTGAATCTCATCACCCTGTTCTTCTCAGCTTCCCTTAGTCCCATTCCTCTCCCCAAGTGGGTCTTAAAACCAAGTAGATTAATCTAGACACGAGCTGTCCAGAAT